TCGAAGATTGGAAACTCCAAACATCATCAGGGCTAAGGAGCCAGTAAACAATGATGACTTAAATGGGTTTGGCTGGCATTTGCACCCGGCTCATGGACCGCATCACCGGTCCCGGCAGGTTAATTAGTGTTCCAGATGTTTCTTTATTACTCTCCTTGCGCTTCCTTCTATGGTTCTTCCAGATCATTCCTCCCACCATTCCATTACTAACATTCATCTCCTCCACCACTCCTTTATCCTTATTTCCTTCCATAATACTGACCCTCATCTCCTTTTTGTTTTCATTTTCCACCCTGGGGGCATCCGTTTCTCCTCTATCAGTATTACAAGCCTCTCTGGGATCACAGACACTCCCCCCCCACGCTTTTCTCAATCCCTGCTCCACACCCTCTCTTCTCACTCCTCCACTGTCATGAGTAACCTGTCATGACTAACCTGTTGCATGTTTGGGGGTCTATGCCCTCCTCCTCCGTCCTGGCAATCTTCGTGTTGACAGTTCTCTACCGTTCCATTTGTTTGCTGCGTGATCGGGTGCTTACTCCGCCTCTCAATTCATCATCCCCCCTCCTCCCTATCACACACTCTTCCCCATTGCTAGTAGGAGCGGCATTCAGGCGGACGCCAGGTCTCTGGATCTCTACATTCTGATTCCCTGCATTCTCACTCTCTTGTGCTCATTTTTGGGGGGATTTCAAAGTGTTCGTCCTGGTGTTCGTATTTTATTCGTACCATAGACATGCCCAGGAGTCGTATTTTTATGCAAATTTTCCAATATATATATATATATGTCTAAGAACTGTAATGCCCTTTTCCAGACAGCTGAAAAATGATTAACATAAGCATTGCAATAGTAATATCCGGTGATTGTATCGTAAAGAAATACTGTATAAATAAAGTATAATAAAATACTGTAATAAAATAAAATATAATAAAGTACTGTAACAAAAACAATAACAAAGTAATAAAGAGTGAATATCTGCATAGAATATAATGAAGTACAATAAATACTTGATCATTGCTGTAAAGAAAAGATCTGGGGGACAAAGAAAAATAAAGCAGGGTTAGAACACTACATGAATTCAGGGAAAATGTGAAGGCTTCTGTGAAATAAATAACCTGATTTGGATAAGAAAGCTTTAAGTGGAGAAAGCAAGGTTAGCAACAGGCATCAGGCCTCACGGGGTTTGTGTTAATTTTGGGCCTGCTGAGAGAGATGAAAGGCACCCATTAGTTGCATCAATCTGCTAATAACTGGATAAAAGAAGGAAGGCGACCATGTTTCATTCTTCCAAGTGTGTCGGCTACAGGGCTCAAACCAGGCCTCATTATAACTGAGTATGGGACTAACACTCCCCATGAAATTCAGAGCTGCCAGCTTGATTTTGTATCTACCCACTGTCTAGAAGCAAAGCCAAACAACAGTAGAATTACCTTACCAGAGAGGTGGTAGGTTCCTCTTTACTTAATATATACAAATTGCAGCTTCATTTGTCTGGAAGCTTTTAAATAGGACTCCTGCACTGAGCAGGGGGTTCAAACTTCCAATTCTGGCTTTTTATAAAATAATTTATAGTTATAATATAATACAAAAGTCCTTAATTTGTTGTATTGTTTTTGGTCACAACCCCTCCCTACAATCCTCCTCTTCCTCCTCGGTTTCTGCTTTCATTCCCGGCAAACGAATTAATTGATCTAAATTCTTTTTAGATTCCACCGATTAAAACACCGTTTATAACACCAATGCTCCCCCTAGTGGTAGAATGTAACAATGCTCTCTTTTATTTCGAATTTATGTTAATAAGGACATTCAAGTATAGAAGAACCTAAAGGATTATAACGGAAAGAAAGAGATTCTTGCCTTCTGTGGGACCCTCAGTTTACTCACTAACTTCTTGTCAGGGAAGGGCATCAACTATTGCCGCTTTTAAGGGTCTCTGGAGCTCCTGAATCCCAGCAAGTTAATGAAGTTGAATGGACCAATAGAGGGAACAATGTGCAACCATTGTAAAACCATCACCCAGAGAGAAGATGGACTCCAGGATCAACTTCCAGTTCTCAACACAGAATATCAGCTTTTTATGCTTTCTGTAACAAGTTTATCTGGCTGATGTTATGGGGCAGACCTGGGCATTTTATGGCTCCTGAGCCACATCCAGTCCTGGCTATTTCTTCTAGCCTGTATGAAGTAAATCAGAAATTAGAAATCAAATGTAAATAAGTGGACCACAGGGAGCAAAAGAAGAAGCCGAGTTGGATCTGGCTCTGTGCAGTCACAGTGCACTCCTTCAGTCGGCTGGCAGCTGCAGGATGACAAGGAGAGAAAGCATTTTTCTGTACCTGTGCAGCACTCCTGTCTCACCTAAAGCAGCCCGAGGAGCTGAGGTGATGGAGTTTGAGGACATCAGACATTGATTTGGTCCTCCAGAACAATCCCAGTTTCTCAGGTGGCCCCTTGGGAAAATTAACTGCCCATCCCTGTCTTGGGAGGTAATTGTCAGTTCTGCCATCTTTAGCTTAGCGCCTCACTGGCATCCTGCCATCAAAGGCTATAGGAAGGGGCATGGGAGGGGGACATATGGGCAATAAACCTGTGTGGGGATATGAAGGAAAATAGGGAGGGGGGATAACAGCTTGACAAAGACCAGGGAACCATGGAACCAGTTTGTGCCAGCACTCAAGGCCACACACCCTGAGAATGGAATGTAGACTGCCCCAAATATCTCAGTGTTTCTCAAAACAATTATGTGGCTCTTCATTGGCTGAAGATGAACTGGTCATGGGGAGAGGGATAGGCTGGGGGGAAAAAGAAATGTAACTTTTTGTGCAGGAAACTTAGTTCTAGCCTGACTTTACTGCAGCCAGCAATTTTTAGTAAAAAAAATATATATTACTTCACCGAAATGGAGTCGAGGGTCTTTCTTTCCTAAGAGACCTGACTGGGGCAGTAATTCTGTCCTCTACAGCAGGGGTCCCCAACCTATGATCCGCGGCCTGGGACCAGGCTGCAGGCTCTTGGTCCCACGGAAACGGCTGGCCAGTGTGTACACGTGTGGATGCTCATTTCCCAATTGTGCTAGGGCCCGCGGCCCCGTTTGTGCATGCACGCAGGCATGAATGGAGATGCTAGCGTGGGGCAGGTGAAGGGGCCATTAGCTGCCATGGGGTGTGTGCAGTGCATGCCACATATGCGAACAGGGCTGCTAGTGCCACGCCAGTGTGTGTGGCCCTATGTGTGTATGTGCATGCACCAATTTTGAAGCTGCTCCCTTTCCCTCTGGTCTTGAGCCCGGAAAGGTTGGAGATCTCTGCTCTACAATATCCATATGTAGCTGAGACAATCCAGTCACTCCACAAGAGGATGTGACATTGCAACAGAGAGATGAGAGGAACTCCATTCCCATTGTTTTCCTCACAGTGCATGTCCACTGGAAGCATGAGAGCAACCATACCTGATATACCGTCTGCAAATCCTCCCAAAGGTGATCTAGAAACAAAACTGTACATATGGCAGCAAAGGTAAAGGGCTGATTCTTCCAGTGAAAAGAGCCTGTAGAAAAATGTTTGTCACCCTATAACCTTGAGCTGTTATGGGAAATATATCTGGCTTGTCTGCTGCATACTGATATCTTTCTCAGCTAAGGAAATCCTGGTGAGGGCCTAAAAACTGTGACTCTAGAAAAGGAGGGCCTATTAACCTGTTAACAAATAATTAGAAGCTTCTGTAAACATTGTTCTTTGTGTCTTTGCTAGACCTAGTCTTTAGCAATTAACTGACATCTTCTTTAACATCTGTTAGCAAAGAGCTAAGGAGAATGATCACAAATACTTCACATGTAAGAAATGCCAGTCTAAATGGCAGGGTGTGGTTTTGTAATTGCGCTAAAGAAATTTGCAAATGGGCCCATTACTAGAACAAGGAAAGATAACATGACATGTAGCTTAGCTGTGTTTAAAAATGTCCAGGCAAAGATCCAAAGGTAAAAGTTTGTCATCAGCCTGTTAAAAGAGAGCTTAGGTAATTAAGTGCAAACCCACCCACACCATCCAATGCTTATTATGGAATATTACTCTAAATTGGCATTAAGAAATCAGAAACAAATAATGAAAGATCAGGAAATTCTGGGTTATATGTGGTTTTATGGTATAAAAAGAGCTTGTTGAATTTCAGCAAGGGTGCTTGATTTGGACTTGGGCCCCAAGACTATCTCTTTTTTATTTCTGCACAGAACTAAAATGTTGAACCCCACTTTCCTCAACTCTGTGTGATTTATTTGCTTATTGTATTAGGTAAAATGAACACTGCCATTCATCCTCCTGTGAAGCTTTTAAGCAGAATCAGCCCTCACACTGGAAGATCCTGGACAAAATAGAATTATAGAACTGTAGGGTTGTATGTGATCTTTTAGTTCAAAGCCCCACCAGTGTCAGAAATCCTCACATCTCTCCAAACAAATAGCTGCCCAATCCTCCAATTTCAGAGCATCCGTGGATCTGCAAAGCAATTTTCCTCATTCTTCAACAGAGCTTCTCTTATTTTGTATTTATGTGAATGATTCTTTTTATTTCTTTCTACTTCTACTGAAGTGTCCAAGACATCACACTGGGTTAGGATGGTAATATTATGACACCAGAGACTGTGAGACCAATTTTGTTTTTTTGAGGAACATGAGATGCTTTTAATACACTGATTGAACACACCTAGAGAGACAAAATGGTCATCCTGAATAGAAATTCAGGAAGATGCCAGGGACCTGCTCCTTGAATAATCAGGCGCTTGAAAGGATCTCAATTAAACTATGCTATAACAAACTACCTTGGTTTGCTTCTGGTATCCAGGCGAGCTGAGATAAACTTTGTTTAAAGCAACAAAACCCAGTAAAGGAAGAAGTGGGTAGAAATTGAATTTCCTTTCCTTTCTGGGAAAAAATGAAGTCCCTCTACTCATTTCCCCACCCTGTTCCTATAACACAATATAAAGAACAAACAAACAGAATCATGTATTTGACTGATTCCAGTTCCAATCAGAGACCTAGGATTTATTTATTAAACAAATGTATATAGCTGTCTATCTAATGCAAAATGATCTGGATGGTATAGAATAAGTATATGAAATCAATATAAATATAAAAACAAGTTTTTATAAATATAAAACACCAACATTAAAACATTAGAAGTTTTTTTTATTATTCTGGTAATGTTATATGATGCAGTATATCATAAGCTCAGCAAGGAGCTTTTTGGGTAAATGTGCAGCTGTTAATATTGTTATGTTATTGGAAAAATGTTTAGTTTGTTATCTATTATCAGTCACCATCATCATCAACTATCTATTATAGCAGTACAATTTAAAAACATGTAATCACAAAGGACATCCTATGATCCTCAGAACCCAGCATTTCATCTGTCTCCCAAATACATTCGATAAATCTTTAAAGTTCCCAGAAAATTTATTGGAAAGGTATGTCTTGGAGAAGGTATTTGCAAAAGAGGTTGTTACCATTGAGAAGGCTTAGGATTCATGACATGATATTCTCTTAGTACAAGGACCTTTAACATGCCTTGTCTCCCTGTTCTCTCTGGACTAGCAGAGTTGACTTGATCTCAGCCCCCTGCTGAGCCATGTGCTGCCTTTAAGGTGACCATCAGAACCTTGAATTTATTTATATATCATATTTGCAAACAACCCATCTCTCTCATAGAGGGCCTCTGGGCAGTGTATAAATAGATATAAAATCATAAAAACTATATTATAATAAAAAGGATTAAAAGCAGGAAAATTCTGTTAAACTTAAAAGTTTAAGTTCAAGATTAAAAAGGCAAGAAGAGTCTTTGGTGCACTAGCTGGCCCCATGGCTATGTGCTCTTCTGTGGGCCCCAACCAGGTCAACACAACCAGGTCTTCAAGCATTTATGAAAGGCCAGGAGAGGGGGGGCTGCCTCACCTCTGGGGAGAAAATGTCCAAAGAGTGCGGGCAGTGGCAGAGAATGCGCTCTTCCTTGAGCCCACCAGTCAAAATTCTTAACTAATGGTTCTGTAGCATTACCTTTTCTGCCTTACCAAGTGGGACAGGTTGCTGTAATGGGGTAAAGTCAGTTCCGCAGGTAATCTGGCCTTATAGGCCTTGTAGGATTTTAAAAGTCATAACCAGCACCTTGAATTGGATCTGGAAATAAACCAACACCCAATGCAACTCACATAGCTGAAGATTCTGAAGAATTTTCAATGGTTGCCCCACGTAGAGGGCATTGCAATAATCCAGACAGGAGATGGGGGGGGGCCATGAATGATGAAGTGAAGGGTGTCCCTATTCAGGAAGGGGTGTAACTGAGACACAACATAAACTGCACCTTTAACTGCACCTGCTACTTGATTCAGCTCCATCTGGGAGGTGTTACAATCTTTCTGCAAAGGGTGAAGGACCCTGTGATAAATTTTGAGATGACAACAAGGCCCACTTTAAATTCTTTTATATTTTGATCCAAAGCAGACTAATGCAGAATGGATATCATTAAGTAGCTCCATGTCTACAGCTAATGCTATGGATATAATTTTTGCTTTTCCTTTATTTTATATCTCAAAATAGATGCTAGAGCAGGGGAAACATGGTTCTGTGAAAGAGTAGTAATTCATTAGGGCCTGCCTCCCCTCCCCCAAATGGGACGGAGAGATACAGAGGAAATAATTATTTCTTTTAATTGCCGTTGAATGAAGCATTTGCCTTTGTCTTTTATTGTCACTAGCAAGTCCAAATCTTTGTGCTGGAACTATGCTATTTTATAGCTATCCCAAAATGGAAGTGACTAATTCTTCATAATTCTTGGGACAAAGGAGTGAACATGAGACTAGACTCCTGGGATTTATATCTTTATAACAGGTATTTGTTCTTTGGTGAAGGAAACAGGGGCTCTAATTCTTAAGATGCACCTAATCAGCTAATAAGATTCTTCTCATCTGACACATTCTCCTCCTCTTCTTCTTCTTCAATCTCATTAACACCTTTAGCCTCATTCTTGGCTTCGTTGCTCTTAGCATTCCCTAAGCGGCTTCCCACACTAGCTCCCACTCCTCCTCCCACAAGTCCAAATGTGCTTGCCCCGGCCACAGTCCCAATCGCAAAAGTAGCACCGGTGCCCAGCACAATGGCTTCTCCTGCCAACAAGGCTGCTGCTATACCAGCTCCAACAGCCCCACCAGCTAACCCCACAGCACCCACCCCAATGGCTACCCCAGCTTTGATTGCACTGGATTTGAAACGACGGTTGTAATCTTCCATGAAATCATTAGCTTCACACTTAAGGTATGATTCCAGACATGATAAAAATTCGGTCCGATGTGGCTCATCACCCTGAAATGAATCTCGGAACTGTTGGAGGAGCTTCTCTTGCTTCTCCTTTAAGCGCCTAGTCATCGAATTTGGGGGCACTCGTAGGCTTGCCAACACTGAGCGAGAGAATTTATCCTAAGATTGGACAAAAGGGTGGTAGGTTATAGAAATAGATGTGGAAAAGGGAGAAGACTGTAAATATTAATCACCTCATTATTCATAATAATGTCACTTCCTATTATTCCACTGTTTATCATATATTTAATCTGTCCTTGTGTCTAGGACACCAGATTTTATGTTCTCCATTTTATATTCCCAATAGTTAAATGTCTATGGAGATTCTCAGTCATTCAGGTCATAGTTGTCCCAAATATGTTTTTTTCAAGATATAAATTCTTCCATTCTCTATCATCCAGTCATTGCTGAAGAAGTTTCTTGGATGAGAAGCGAAATGTCTTCAAAGAAAAACAAGGAAGTCCAGTTGCCTCTTGACAAAGCACCTTTGGGTATTTCCAATAGCCTTTTGTAGTCAATTAAGGTGACAGAAAGAACCAATACCTGTGTGATAAGTTTTGAAGCTGCCACAATATTTTAACTTGCAATAGCACTTAGACTTATATATCACTCCATAGTATTTTCCAACACTCTCTGAGAGGTTTACAATGACAGCATATTGCCCCCAAGACTTTGGATCCTCATTTTACTGACCTCAGAAGGATGGACGGCTGAGTCAACCTCGAGCCCTGTCAGAATCAAACTCCAGGCTGTGGGCAGAATCAATCTGCAATACTGTATTCTAACCACTGCACCACCAGGGCTCAATGGTTTATCTACTAAATTTTATTTATTTGCTCTATTGGTCTAATTGTGGTGTAATATCTACTAAATTTTGCAAAACATAAGAGGCTTTACTCTTGACCTACCTCAAAGTTTTCATTTGTGGAGCACATTTCACCTAGCCTAAGTCCATCCTCATACAATGTCAAACAAAAATCATTTTATTTACTTTTTCTGCATTTAAATACTGACCAACACCACTATAGGTAGTCCTCAATTTATGATCATTCATTTAATGACAGTTTAGAGTTACATCAGGATTGAAAAAAGTGATTAACAATTTATCCTTGAAGTTAAGTAATCATGATTTGTGTACTTGGTAACCAGCTCACATTTATGACAGTTGCAGTATCCTAGCTAGTTTCCAACAAAGTCAGTGGGGGATATAAGATTCGCTTACTGACCGCATGATTCACTTAACAACTTTGCTTAATTGTGGTGATTTACTTAACTGTGGAAAAATTGTTTGTAAAATTGGGTCTGGCCACACAATAACTTACCTAATGACCACATCACTTAGCAACCATAATTTCAGTCCCTGAAGTAGTTGTAAATCAAGAATTATTTGTACTTGAACTTTCAAAGTGCAGCCTTTTGGTTTATATTATACTTCTGATTCTAGTCTACCATACTCTGACCAAATGTCAATCCTTTGCCCTTCCCCACATGCCAATTTAAATTAAATAAATCATAGAAATCTGTTCCATCTCTAACACATTCCAAATATTTGCTTCTTCAAAATCCTCATTTTTTTGCCTTTTAAAAAATTAAAAACTATAATAAAACTGGTCTCTTCCTCTTGACCTACCTGTTTTTGGATGAACTTTTTAAATTTCTTCTGGAACATTTTATTTTTGTTCTGGTTGAAGGTATAGGCCATCTGAGCAGAAAGAAAAAGGAAAGGTTAGCAGATGTGGCTACAAAATTTTTAATCTTTCATTGAGTTCCCTTACAATCCAGAGGAGACAAGGAAAGGAATAAAGAGAGAAGTATAAAGTTGGATGTATGCATCAGGTTCACCCACGTCAGCTATTTAGCTTTATATCTGCTCCTTTTTAATGGAAATGATTCCAACTGCAGAATCCAATCAATCAGAATAGAGCTGGAAAGTACCTTGTAGGTCATCTAGTCTAACCACCTACTCAAGCAGGAGACCCTACAAATTTGAGACAAGTGGCTGCTCAGTCTCTTCTTAAAAACCTCCAGTGATGAACCACAACTTCTGAAGGCAAGCTGTTCCACTGGTTAATCCATCACTATCAGAAATTGGATTTCCTGCTATGGTTCTCCAAAGCCATATCTAACAAGCTATTTATGATAGTCTCATCTTATCTTCCACCTCTACAGAATTCAACAAATGGATGTTTTTCCATCCAAACACTAACTAGGCCCAATCCAATTTAGCTTCAGCAAGATTTCTTTGGTTTTTTTCTTCATGCCCCATTATGTTTATCAGGCCCATTAATTCCTTGTTGGGAACCCATCAAGTAGTATTAGAATTGTAAGCTAAGCTAAGATTAAAACAAAATGAAACAGAAAAGGGCAAAAGCAAACGATTTCTACATAGCTGCCCAGAAAACAGTGTGGATGTGTTCATGGAGTCTGCAAATGTGGAGCTTGCTCTGAGGGACATTTTCCTTTTAAAAAAAAGATGCAGAAGGAAAATGGGAAAGTCAGTACCTCTATGGGTGAGGAAAAACCAGTGTGATATTGTTTCATGAGTTCTGATAAATCCTAAAAGAAATTTTAAAAAAGGAGGGTTCAACATGTGAAAGTAGATTAACAAATACATGTCTATTCAGAATATCTCCAAATACAGCATATAGACAATCAACTTATAACCCACCTGCCGAGAGATTTCTATTGACAGATCAAAACACAGAAACAGACACACACAGTATTTTCCCCAATATACGACACACTCTTTTCACATAGAATTTTGGATTAAATGATGCTTTTTCTGAGATGGTTAGAACTTAAAAGTTAATGATTAACACAACAATTGCAATAAAAATATCAAAAGCATAAAGGCATTGAAATGGACCAAAGGCTCGGACTAGGAAACAGGGTTAGAAGTTTTTTTTTATATATGATGTAAAGAAGATTAGAAGTCATTTCTTTAATTGTGTTTTTGTTTTTTCTCTTTCTGCCTATATTGTACTTTGCACATTTTTCTTTTTTCTCCATTTTATGTTTTCATGTTTATGTTTTAGATATATAGAAATCTTTAATAAAATTATATATTACCACAAGTAGGTAGTACCACTACTAGTATTGTGACAGTAGATAAGGATGAGGGCCTGAAGAAGGAACTAGAGAGAATGTGGACAGTAAAAGCCAAAGTGCATGTTGTAGTAATAACAGTATGTGGGTTTGTGATTCCTAAGCTGGGAGAGTGGCTCCAACATAGCTCTCTGTCCAATTAAGTACAATGCTAGGAACAACTAAGATCTTACTCATAACCTTCAAACTCCAAGGCCCCTGGTAGAAGACCCAAGAGTGAGTACAAGGTGAGGAATTTTTTTTAACACACACACATGCATACACACATACACATGCAAGGAATACATATATCAACTCACTAAATATTCACAGATGTGCCAAGGAAGGGTGGAGGGGTGGGCAGGGTATTATCATACTCTAGATCTCATTAGGCATGTGTTAATTTTGGACAAACTATGAGGGAACATCAATTGCATCAGTGTGCCATGTCAAGCCAAAGCATATCATGCATTTCCTCCCATTAACAACTGGATGAAAGAAGGGAGGCAACAGGGTTCCTTTCCTCTGAGTTGGTAGTAACAAGGCTCAAACCAAGTCACACAAAAAACTATGGGCACTAACACTCCTCATGAGATTCAGAACTACCAGCTTGATGTGGTAGCTATGTCCACTGGCTACAGAGCCAAGCAACAGTGGAATTAAATTACCCTTTGCTTAATGTGTTCAAGTGGCATTTCAACAATCATTTCTCTGGATGTTTTTAATTGGATTTTTAAACTGAGCAGGGATTTTAACTGAGTTTCTATAAAATCATGTTTTGAACAGGCAGTGCTGGACTTTTCCTGTTTGCTCGTCAATTTACATATACAGTTTTAAGTCCAAACTGCAGATTCCAGGGTTCTTCCTCTTATAACCATTTTTCACCTATCCAGAATAGGGCATCTCACAAGGATTGGCTGCTTGAGATAACTCTAAGTCTCTTTCATTTCCCTCTCATTCCCTTTCATTTCCCTCTCATTTCCTCCAGCACCAGCATAGCAGAGTTGCCAATAAAGCAGCAACCTTGACACAGGTGTGAGAGGGAGGAGCTGTATGTTTTTACAGCTATGCCTCCATCAGCAGCAAAAAGAGAAGTTGTTTTTTCCTTTGGAAAGAGTGGCCAGTTCTGAGAACAAACATACAGAAGCACAGCAAGGAAAAGGACAACCTAGAAAAGTGAAACTGCTCCATCTGCTGGCTGTTAAAAGTGACAACATAGAAGAAAAACTAGGAATCTCAGAGAGACGGTAAAAGAGTCAGGATAGTAATGTAAGAAGACATTGATGTTTGGTAGATAGTAGTTAGGGAATTAGGGAATTCTGGAACTTGAAGTCCACACATCTTAAAGTTCCTAACATTGAGAAATAGCTCAAAAGACTGATCTCTTTGGATATAATAGAAATCTCTATATGCCAAACACAAATGCAAAGGTGTAGGTTGCTTAGTCATTTGATTCCCATAACTCTCACCTTTATCTTATCAGCAAGTTCTGTCCCAGTAAGAGGTTTGTTCTCCTGATTTCTCTGTACATGCATTCCAGCTGATCTGGCAATATGATTCCCATAATCCTTCAGGAATTCTCTAAAATCCTCATCCATACCTGCAAGAAACAATTCAACTGTTCTGGAGAACACACACTTTTTTTTTTACCCTTTCTGGAGATCATAATTGAAAATATCTAAATGCAACCTGATTTAGTCCAAGACTCCAGAATGAAAAAGAGTGTTGTATTTGGCCTTAAAAGGGAACAATCCCACTTAAAAACAGTCTCTACGTTTGTCTATATGCAGTGTGTGTGGATTCTGGTGGTGGGAGAAATAAAATTGATTTTAGAATATTATTTACATCTTCAAGACTTAAGCTTTGTGCATGTTTAAGTAATCATATAGGTTTGGGGGAAGTGAATGCAGCAAAGGAATTACAAAATTGATTCTAGATAGGCATATTTTGCTAGCAGCCAGACAGATAAAATAGGACAATGAGAAGATTTTGGTAAATTTTAACCAAAATTATTTGTAGGATAAAAATTTATTTCATAAAAAATACCCTGGCACAGTGGATAATCTTATTGGCTTCACTACAATTATTTTACATTGCCTTTTGAATTCAGAGCAATTTTTAAACCATATTAAGAGGGGGGGAAATCCATTCCCTGCTTTGTTTCCCCCATCTCAGTTCCAATTAAGAAAACAAAGATTCATAGTTCCATTTCAAGCCACAGAAGGAATTGATCTAATTATTATTATTATTATTAATTATCATTAACTCCAAGACTGATCAGAAAGGATTTATGGAATTGATGTTCCTCCTTGCAATAGAATGAAGTAATTGTGTTATTCTTTTCTACAGTTCATACAAATGCTGGATGCATAAACTTGTGGGAGGAACATGAAGAAGGTATAATTGAAAGAAAGAGCTTCTTGCCTGCTATGGTGCCTTCATTTCCCATCACCAATGTCTTTCCAGGGAAGGGCATCAGGTAACAAGAAGTGTCAGTGCTTTTGAATATTTGCAGGGCTCGTGGATGCCGGTTGGGTTGACCCTCTAGCTTCTGAGGTTAAATGGACAAATAGAAGGGACTATTGCAACTATTGTAACACTCTGTTTCTCTGCTTTAGAGGGGAGATGGATTCCTACGGAATCTCTTCATTATCAACTCAGGATATCTTTCTATAATTTCTACAACAGGCTTACCTGGATGGTGTCCTGGAGATAATCTTGTCCCCCCTGGAATCCATAAATGGGGGGGTAGAACCAGTCACGAACCAAGACATCAAGATGCTGCAACAACAACAAAAACAAGAGAAGCTGCAGGATTCTGCATTTGCCTTTCCTCCCTCTTATTGTGGTCCCACTACGTGTCCACTAGATGCATGGAACAACAAACCTAGTCTTCATGGTAGTAAAGGTGAGTTAGAAAGTAAATTGTACATATGGCAATAAATTTACAGGGCTGATTCAACCATTACAAAGAGCCACAGGAGATATTTTTATTTTCACCACCTTCTCCTGCCATTTGGCATGTCCACCAATGCTGCTAAAACAGGGAGAGTGATGCATACCATTTGGAAGTAGAATCCTTCCCTGTTAGAGAAAGACCATGGATGATGGGTCCTATCTTCTAAGGGCATTCCTCCTTTGTCAGATCCTTTCTTATTCTGCAAGGCCCCTCAGCTTATTTACTTATCCTTCCTTCTATTCCCAGTCTATGAAGCTGAGGGGGAGCAAAGCTGTCTTATCACTTGTAGAGGACAGGAGAGAATAAGGAAAAGAATTATGTGAGTTCTCTGCTGAAGTATAGTTCAGACTGTAGCTCCCTTTGAGGCTAGTCCTATTTTTAAATATTGGTTTTCATTTTTTTTAAACCATTTACCCCAGCATATCATAACTATAGTGAAAATAAAGCAGTGCCTCCCCTTACATTCATATTGCTATTCCGTTGTTCTTGTTTCTTTATAACACTCTCCCTCTACTTTTTCAGCTTGCAAAGATCAGAATAGGTAGGGCTGATAATACTGCATTGTCACCAAAGGAAACTGTACGAACACTTGGTGTCCTTTTTTTCTCTTTTTAGATAGATATGACTTTGGGACTTTTAAGGGCTTACAATACCTATTGGGAAAAATTATAATCCTGAACAGAGTTTCTTATTTCTGTAAGATGGAACTTGAAATCTCATATACCACAGCAGATTGTCTATTTGTGCTTTGGATGAGAAAAAGCATGAAGAGCATACTTGATTATTATTTTTTGGGAATTTGTATTTTAACTTTTTGCCTATTTTTTTTTTAAAGAGAAAGAGCATGAAGGTACCCCAATAAACCTCATTTTGTTATAGAACTTTCTTACTACCTGGTTAGCTTCTGGCATTCAAACCAGGCAGAGAGATACTTTCTTAAAGCAACAGGATAGTAAGATTGTCTACTTGGGAAAAATAAGCCATCCTACTTAACTAACCCCTTTTTTATGGATATGGTGGGAATATGGTGGTCTATCTAATTTTGGACTTTTTGTAAAAAAAGAAAATAAATTATTGTCCTTTCTAGAGATGAAAAATGGATGCAGTATAAAGATAAATAATGCATTTTCAAATAGCAGTGGGTGAAAAAGTTCATTAATATTCACAGTGGAAAGAAAAGGAAAGAGAGATGCGAGTACCAGGCAGAAAAAAAACAGAGAGGAAGAGGAGTTTGCTGTGAAGAGGAATTCAGGAACAAAGAGCCTCTTTGACCAAGTGTAAGGGCAACAGTTCTGAGGGAATGGTAACAATGGAAGAGGAAAAATATATATATACATGACATGAATGTAAAAAAAAAGAAGAGAAAAGATGGGGCTCCTTACCTGAATAGGCTTCAGCTGGAATTGATGGCCCACAGTCTTTGCTATGTACAAAAATATCTGTGGGATAAAAGAAGTGGGTGACTATGAAACCAGGCAATTTAATTTCACCCGAGTTTATTGTCTGTTCACTCAGCAGCAGAGATGAAGAACTAAAACATGATTTAGGAAATAAGTGAGGACCTCTCTCACTTTGTGATTGTGAGTTATTGTTTTTGAGTTATTGCCTGACCGATTCCAGAGAATTTAGGACAGTAGACTTAAATACAGTACTGTATGTAAGCTGGTGGGGGGTATATCTCTCCCCCCCCATTTAAAATGTAATAGTCACTTTAAACTACTTAACCTATTGCTTTTATACAAAGACAAAGCATTGTTAGTTTTCCATTTAATATTTTTAATGTTATTGAGACAATCAATTTATTCAGATCAATTAAAGAATTTTTAGCTGCATTTGTACAACATGCTAAATTTAATTACTTGTAAAATTAGAGTGTTTCTTGTGGCATAGCGAATTGCATGAGCCAAGCATCAGAGTTAAGTTAATGATTCAATGAATGTGCAGATTCAGACACTGGGTTAATTTGGTATCTAAGACCAATATGATGTGGGGATCTAGCCTTTGTTCAGTGGTTGCATTCATGGCTAAATCAACCATGTAAAATTGAAAATTTCCTTACTGGTTTTCCTGAACTATTTGTTTTGATATCTTTATTGTAGATCATAGGAAATGGAAAAGACAGTAGGTCACATATACACACACTGGTGCAGCAGTGATAGGGATCTGATAACTATTAGGTAGCCATGTTTTTTCATTGGGACAAAGATTAATCAAGCTGTTGTCAACTGTCCAGTTGGCATTTTCAGAAAAAGAAACTCCTGGGACATGATTTTATCAAGAGTATAATACTTTACTGAAAATTTACATTGGCACAGAAGAAGAAAAAACAGCTCTGGTTTTCTCACAGAAAGCTTGCTTAGTTAAACAATAGATTCCCTCGCACGTACCCACTGGGTGTTCACATGGTACAACAGTAATACTTCTTCAGTCCACTTCTCCATTGAGCACCTGCATTAGTAACCTTGATATTCTTGCAAGCTCTCAAAGATGCCTCAGTTGCCTAGATACCTTCCCTCCCACTTTTCCATTCTATTCCACAATCTCTATCTTGATTTTTTTTTTGTCAAGCTATGAGCGAGGGAGAAAATGTAGGTGAAAGGGCAAATAATCTTGACAGCTTCTTGAGATCAGTTTGCCCTGGCATATCAATATGCCTAATCATCCAACTGAAATGGATTTTCTTGCATCATTTGACATTCCTGTTAATATTTACTCCAGAATGAGACTTGGCAATACTTTGGAAACAATTTGGAAAAGATGCATTGGAGTATGATCATAGCACCTATCAAAAGTCTTAAAACAGCCACACATTTTCTTATTTTAACTTGGCTTTTCTTTAGCTGACAAATATCCTGGAAAAAGATACAGGTGCTTTAAAGAGTATTACATTTACTTTTTTTTCATCCTCCTCAGCATCTTCTATAAATGGATCTGAAGTACTGCATAACCCTACTACTTATGGAGTCTCTTGCAAGGCATTGATTCTCTACTTGTAGTATACTGAAACTGATTTGGACTGTTTGAGTACCACAGCTGGCAGATTCTTGCATCTGAGTCAAGGTATCTAGGTAAAATAGTTTAGGATCTTTCCAATTTGGTTGCCTGAATTAAAGGAATCAAAAGACACCAGAAGTCTGGACTTTAGTTTAGGCCCCCCTTATTTTAACTATATTGAGAGAACTTTCTTTTTATATCACCTCTGCTTGGTCATATTGCAATGTCTCCCTGGGACAAGGACCCACATTTTTAATATTTAGAGCCCAACTCACTTCCATGTATTCCAGGTCTGGGTCCTTCAGCCTGTGGGATAAATTGAGAATCTAAAAGACAATTAAGAAACACAACAAAAATGGGGTAAGTAAGTTATTTTTACAGTCTAGAGGAAAAAAGGTGATTTAGTTTCTAGAACTCCACCTGATAGGAGCTAAGCAGCATAGAGAAAGCTGAAAACTTGACACCATTGTCCTTGCTTCTCTCTATATCCATTGAGCCTTCGGTGTCAATCAAGAACAAAGCTACCTGGAGATGGAATGGAGAAGACAAATAAGTGGATACATATAGTGTGAATTCATCCTTTTCGTCTGGTTTCTGATTCAATAAATTGTGCAATGTGGATTATTCAATAATCATCTTAGGAATGTTTTGTGTACATAGCTGCAGAATTCATTTTTAAAGTATATTAAATGCTCTTAGCGGAGATGGTAAATCTTTTAGATTTCTACCCTGGTTGAACTACAGTTTCCGGCATTCCTGATGTTTTAAAAAATCAAAATGATGATAAACAGAATAAAAACCCAGAGATAAAACTACTGAAAACAGTCCACACCATCATGACTGAAGTATAGGAAATTAATCACTTTATAATGGAAAAGATAGGCTAGTGGGGTCCATCCAGCACCTGGTCCATTGATTCATCTAAGTTTGATAAGAGATGCAACGAAAACAAGGCAAGAAAGGAAAATAGTTAGGAAGTGGCAAGAATCACGTAAAATATAGCTGAGTACAGCAGCTATTACATGTGGCTATAAAAAAGCAAGTTTCTACTTTCAAAGCACTCTTCCCTCTCCCCACATTGTGGCAAGCATAAATTCTGCATAATTGGTAAATCTGCTGCCTTTTAGAATCTACATTTCCTGTGGTGAACAGATTTTTTTTTTAAATACAAGCTTCAGCATGCTGTTTAGTGTCTTAGTTCTCCATTATGCTTTTGAAATTTGGTGCTGGAGGAAACTCCTGAAAGTACCATGGACAAGCAAAAAAAACAAATGGAATATAACACAAATTAATCCAGTGTTCTCATTGAAGCACAAATGACCAGATATGACTTCGTACACATTATATGAACCACTAGCTCTCTACAGAAGTCTTTAATGATGGGAAAAGTGGAAGGAAAGAGAAGAGGACACTCAACAGCAAGGTGGATAGATACAATTACAACAATGATAGGAGCACATTGGAAGATATGAAGCACTAGGTTAGGGACAGATCATTTTGAAGATTAGTATCTATTTGGTTGCCAAGACAAGTCAACACTGATGATGTCAATCAATCAATCAATCCATCAATCAATCATACAGACAACTCAATTAGATCAACCTCCAGCTTGGCCAAGCAACATTGTTTATGGCAAGATCTATGTTTTCTATCATACTATCAACCTTCTGAGTAGCATTAATAAACTCTAGTTTGGGGACTGGTGTGATATGTAGGAGATGAGAAATGCATTAAATTCAGAAAATTGTTGAAAAATCTGGCACAGGGGCTACAAAGAAGAAGACAAAAGGCAGAAAGAAGAGGGGAATTACTTCTTGGATTGAATTCTCAAACTTTTACCTTTCCATTTTCATCAGAGACCAAAAATGGCTGATTCCACATCCAGATCCCTTTTGTGATGCTCTTAGTTCCTGGATGCCATTCAAAACCTGTCAATGGCTCATCTTCTTGACCCATCCAAGAGTCATCTGTAACAGCCTGCCAGCAAGGAATAAATAAATGAGACAGGAAACATGTAGCTGCTGAAATAGCATGGTTAGTCAAATAACATACATTTTCCAATATATCAAAACATTACTTGTGCAAGCAACTTTCTCTATTTTTCTCCTTACTTCTGCAAAGTTCATTGATTTGCTTTTTGGTGAAATGCACGTTATTATTTTACTGTTACTTTATTATTATTTATTCTTTAATTATTTTTTGTGATTTATTTATGGTATAAATCTCTGGGAGTTTAAAAACTCCTTAAGAAGCATTTGTATTCCACCAGTGAGATACCATGAGATATGAAATACTAGGCTACCTTCAGTGATTATATTCCTTTATTAAGTTACATTTGCTTTTTCAGACAAGGAATGTAGTATGCCTTATTTATTTCTCCTTCTCATATTCTTTAGAAAGTTGAAAAAATGTGCAAAATGCAATGCATATAAACTCATTTTACATGCTTGATTTCTTGAATAAAATTAACACAGCACTGTAAGATGATAGGAAGAGTATCATCCAATCCAAATCATTTTAAAATCCTAAGAAAATAAATATTCTCAAACTTACCAGATTTTTAAATCTCCGCAGGAGGAAGTTGAGCAAGAAGGATTTACCCTGCCGCTGTTCCCCAATGATGGAAATTAAACAGACAGGAGTATCTTTCACCTCTTCCTGCTCTAAGCAGCTACTCAGGGCCTCTGCATCCAAGTAAAGATCTCCATTTTCATCCAAACCTACCAGCTGAACTGGCTGCCCCAATACCACTGAAGCTGTTGGCATTTTCTGAAAAGGAAGACAACTAGCTCAAAACAAGCTGTGTACAACTTTCATGGCTACTCAGTCAGAGTCAAGAGAGCCAAGATAGAAGAAACTAGGGCAGCTCAATTGTGATGGCCATGCCAGATTGACAGAAGTGGTAGGGAATGTGCTGTTTGTGAGCTTTTTGGGAAGGGGACTATATAACTTGGAGTGTGAAATGAAGTCAGTTTTCATTGATATATTGTCTTTCAATGGTTCTTTCTCTTCGTAGGGAATGGTTCTCATCAAGAGAGGAGAGGACAGCTTTGCTCAGAGACCTCTATTTTGACATCTATGTGAAACCATTGGAAGTGTCATCCACCAGCATAGTCAGGTATCAACAGTAATAATATCATAACCCTACACCAAATAATGGAAGTGCTATCCCAGTAATTCTGTAGAGAGTTGTATTCCCTTGTTCAAAGTGGCCCACAATATGGGATCCTTCTTGACTTATAACTCTTCTTCAGATAGGTGACAGCTGCAGACAGGTGGACTTTTGAATATTTACATCTGGTACACTAGTTCAGCCATTCTTGGGTTGGAAGTCTTGCTCCCATTCATCCATGTAATCTCTTGTCTGGATAACTATAACATGATCTACACTTGACTGCACCCATAAAGCATTTGGAAGCTAACACTAATACAAAATGTGGCAGACCTGGGCTATCATGAATGATTCATGTTATACTTGGGTGTCTACCCAGCTTTGGGAGCTGAACTGGTTGTACCTTGTCTTACAGATGTAGCTGAAGGTTGTGGTTGTCACATTTATGGTCCTGTGTGGCTCTGAATCTGGTCATCTGCAACTGTTTTTTTCTGTATTCATCTGCTTATTGCAACAACTTCAAATCTATCTATCTATCTATCTATCTATCTATCTATCTATCTATCTATCTATGTATCTGCAATGTAGGAGATGATCAGGTTGAGCCGAGGGAGGGGTCAAATGCATCATCAGTTTGAAGTCACCATACCCTGTAAGAGACCTAAGTCTCCCCTTAAAGTCCATTAACTCTTATCTGGAACCAATTACTCTTTACCATTAGTAGATCAGATACTTGTATCTAGATAGTATGAAATAAACTTGTAGTACTTTTGAACTCTATCCTGGTTTGTGATTTCTTGCACCTGATATACAATGCAGTAAAATCTTCCTAGTTCCACCTAGATGCACTCTCACCTTGTTGACCTCTTCCAGGTGAGGAAACTGTGAAATTTTTTCCACCAAACTCTTCAGCCGTGCATCTGGTTTCATGCGTTCAGGGCGGCAGAGATGGCGGCATTCAGGACAATTGTACTCAGACTGTGGAGAATTATTTACGTGGATAAATAGACAGTCTTGACAGAAATTATGCCCACAATCTATGGAGACAGGATTAATGAAAGACTCCAAACAGATGGAACATTTGATGTCTTCCTGAAGGTCCTGGATCATACTTCCTACAGATTTTGGTGTAGGGACTGTTGATGAGATCGGCCTGAAAGAAGGAAAGAGAAAGAACTGAATCAAACTGAGGGAAGCTCTAGCTTAGCTTCATGTGTTACTGTAGGACCGGAATGCTGTTCAGAAATCCAGAAGCTCCACCTTGAAGGATGAGTATCATAATCTGAAATGGGAAGAAGGGTGAAGTCCAGAGTTAAAATGACCAAACTATATCATTGTCTGCAGCCCAAGTGCATAGATAGTTCATAGAAATTAAATCTGATTGTTATTTTTCCAGGTCAGAGTCTCGTACTACACCCATCCTTCATCTGGAGAATGGAGGAGGAGGAGGAAAAGGAGGAGGAAAGATTAAAAACAAAAGAAAAAGGGAATATCAAATGAAGAAAATCAATGACTCCATCGGCTTTGTATGTGGACCCTACAATACCATCTGTTATTTCGGTCTTCTGCTATCGGCTTTACACTGGTCTGTTATCTCTTTTTTGCCTCCAGGGGGTGAAAGTGAAAAGACTGTTTTCTGTACTCCAAAACAATTGCACTAGTACATAGTATTTTGCAGTGCTTTTTTTCTAAAAAAAAAAAAAAAAGTGCCAGAACTCACCCATGTCATACAACCCGCCTTGCCTACCCTATAAGGTCCCGTCCAAAAAAGGTGCTGGAACTCTATTCTGGGTGTTCTATGAGAAAAAAAGCCCTGGTATTTTGGCTTATTTTTATAATTTTGCATAGCTATTTGTCATAACCCTTTGTGGAAACCTTTTTTTTTTCATGGTGGGAAAGTCAGCTTTGCAATGTTCGTTTTTATGGATTAAGTGGAAAAATGGAAACTGATATGACTACCTTTCTATTATTTTTTCTTGAGAAAATGACTCATCAAAAGTAAACAAATAACATGCTTAGTGTTTGATAAAGGGAAAAGTGAACTGATAATCAGAGTTAAGTGATAAATAAATAATAGGTGGACTTAGATACCACTGATTTCTGTTTCTAGTTTCTCTTATAGTTGATCTGAATTCTTAAAGCTGTCATTTATTCACTCTAGAAAAGGCTTACATATTATTTAAAGTTTTTAGACTACATCAATTTCCCACAGAACTGCAAATCAATCGCAAGAGTAAATAAAAACACAGTAATACTAAATAATCAGCCAAAAAATACAAAAGTTGCAATGAATTCTGAAATAACTGGAAAGGTTTTGATAAAAATAAACAAACAAACAAATAATAGCAAATAATAGCATAATTTCTGTCAAAAAATAAATAAATAACAAAATCTCACAGAATCTTAATTTCATGGTACTCAGCCATTCTTTTTTTAAAAAAAATCTATAATTTATTGTTACTAAGTTACAATATTTACCAATATTCCAACACATCAAACTGGACGTGGTCATGGTGAAGATTATGAGAAAAGTTAGATTATGTTATTACATTAATTCTTTCAGTATTATTCCGCCAAATATTTTTCTTTGAAAAATAAAGACCCAACTCACAGTTTAGTACTATTTGTGTTTCCCATTCTGTGGTGACCAGGATGCTGAAGGATTCCAAACTTCTCCTTCCTAAAACAGAGAAGATCACATTGCTAAGAAGAGGGTCATCTCCCTCTTTTTTCCTTATCCTTTGTATTTATTTATTTTGTATCCGTTTTTATTATTTTTTTAAATAAATCAAGGCGACAGAGTATCCATACATCTGTTAGGTGCGTTAGGCTAAGAGAGAGTGACTGGCCGAAAGTCACCCAGCTGAATTCCCTGGATAAGGCTGGGCTTGAACTCGTGGGCTCCTGCTTTCTGGCTTGTTGCCTTAACTACTAGACCAAACTGGCTTTTCCTTATCCTTATCTTATCCAGAATCTGAGAAATAAAGATGGGGCAGAGAAAGAAGAAAAAAGAAAAGGGGTCACGAAAGACCAGTCCTTTGACTTTATTTGGGATGGAAGGAATAAAAAGAATCATTTGTGCAAAAGAATGCAAAAATTAATGGCCCCAGTCTGAACAGGGAATCCTATTCAAAACTGTTCAGAACAAAGGTTTCTGTTTTTATGTCCTTTGTATTCTTAATCGTAATTTAAAATCAAATGTATGATAAGCAAAAAATTAAGCAATGAGAGCAAAAAGAAAAAAAGAAAGAAAAACAAAACCAGGGATAATGGGGACTGTAGTCCAAGGTATTAAAAATCAGCTAAGTTGGGAAAAGCCAATGTATGGAACAGCAACTTCAAATCTTTTTTTTTTTTTTTAAAGAAAGAAAAAAAAGCTACGTAACAGTGAGCTGGGACAAAAAATATAAGGGACCTAGGAAATTCTAGAAAGTTTTATTATGGGGGTACAGTAGGAGTAAAGGCAGCATACAGAACCTTGGAATTCTCTTCTTAAGGATTTCTTTATATTATTTAAAAGTAATATTTTATATGACTTTGAAAGTATCCTCTGTCCACTCCCCTGCCATCCAGAGAAGATTTGGAACATAAGCTCACTGAAAAAAATGTACAGTTCTGGTCATGTGTAAAGATTAGTTCTGGAAACTCAATTAATTTAATACAAGGAAAGGAACAGGATGTCCTTATTAAAGTTGTTATATATATTTGTTCACTGATAAAGGCAAAAACCTGATTTCTTGTGATGTTACGGGCACATCCATGTTACTTTGAAGGAAATAATACAATCATAGTTTATCATTACCTTTAGTGATTAGTTCAATTTTCCAGTCTAACTTTTAGACTTGGGATTTCCTTGTGGTCTCCTCTCTGAGTATAACCCTGTTTAAATCGTCAAAATCGGTCAAAGAAGGTTAGGGTTAGGTAACTGGCTGGGTGCAGCCCAAAAGACCTGCTTCTAATTTCAGTCAGTTATTTACTTAGAAGAAATCTAAGTAAACAATGTATTTAGTTCTATCCCACCTTTATTATTTTTGCAGGCAACTCAAGGTGGCAAACATATCCAATACAACTTCCTCCTCCTATTTTCCCCACAACAACAACTCTGTGAGATGGATTGGATCGAGAGAGAGTGATTTAATTTTAAGTTTAGTGCATTATGCTGGATTAAAGCAGTATGGTAACCTACAAGTGGAGATCTTGCCTCACAATCAGGAGGCAGTTAATTTGATCCTAAGTAGCGGCATTTGTTTCTCTATCTGGGTGCAGTTCTGCTGTGAACTCAACATAGACATCAGGAAGGGCATTCGGCTAATAAACATTCAAGCTCTGCTCAGTCATCCAACTTCACCCCAATGCAAGGGATTGCAGGTTTGTTGAAATAAAAAAAAAAAAAAAAATAGAGGATACCAAGCTAAGAAAGGCTGATGGAATTCATTAATTTGGTTATTAAAAAACACAATAAACTTATAAGAGAGATTTAGGATTAGAAGTATTATTTCTGCTTATCTCAGGAAGCTTATCTCAGTTTATATCATTAGCTTAAAGTGAACTGCTGTTTTTCATCCCTGCCACTCATCTCCTTTATACCAAAGAAAGTGTCTCTTCTTGATGGTTGGCTTTGAGGTGAGAAATACAAAGTATTTATAACACAGAGTGTTTTTGTAAGGAAGTTCTCCAAATATTATATATTTTGATTTCCACCTTTGACAGTAACTTCTTAAGATGACTCTTTCTAACACTTAAGTGAACTCGAAAACAAGTTCCAAGTTGAGCAAGCCAAAGAGCAAATGTTAAAACATACCACTTTTTGTTTTAGAACACTATAGCTTTCATTACCATACAAATTAGAACAAGAGAGAACAAAATTGATTCTTCCACTCTTCTGAACATCTGTCCCTGTTTCCTACTGCTAGAGACAAAGTGTTTTATAATAACTTTCAGCTTCTATTTCTGTAACACAATCGACCCACTATTTCAGAGCTGGCTCTACTCAACCATACCCATAGTTTTTGCTTTTGTTCCTGACTGCTTTAATGTTAGGTTTATTTTTTAAAACAATTGCATTGGATTTAACTGTGATTGGCAAGGGTGGGAACATAAAAAAAGCCAGCCAAACAAGAAAAGCCTGTCAGGAAATAATACGACTTTTATATGTTCCTCTTCACATTTTCATTCTGAAGTTCCTATTGAAGCATGTGACATCAAACCATATCACTTTAGTTCAATGAACTCATAAAAATCCTCACACTATTAAGCATTGAGGCAAAAGCAGTTAGTTAGCAATATTATTGTATTGTATTGTATTGTATTATTATATTATAACATTATATCCCTATAAGAGAAACCTGTTGGAGCTAAACTTGGGAAATCATAGTTGAGTACTGTATCTGGCTGTTCTTAGTGGATAGGTACCTCCAGATAACAAAGATTAGGACAAAGAACACAACAGCAGACATTTCTGTCCTTTTGTGATAAAATAGATTATGAATAATACAATTGCTTATTAGGAAGACTTATTTTGATTCCCTCCATTTAGAAGTTTCTTACATTATCTTTTTGTTCTTGCAGCCAATTCTGTACTTACTTACAATTAGTAAGACTTCTAGGCTTAAAAAAAAAACCTACACTTTTAGGGTAGACCAAGCTAGGTAAAATCAATTGACCTTGTCTGATCTCAAACAGCTAAATGAAATTTTGCCTGTTTAGTATTTGGATGAGACACTACCAGGAAATAAAGGAGAGACTAGACTGGGAAGTTGAAAAAAAATGCCCCCAACAGGTGTGAAAAACTATCTCTATGGGATTGTTAAAATTAAGGTGTGATTTTAAGAAATGTCAAGACTTGAACTTGATTCATGGGAGTTAAGAGATGGGCAAATTGAAGAATTCTGCAGAATGAAGAATTAGTTAAATTAATCCAAAGTCTCAAAGGAAGTCCCCCACACAACTGTATAGACTTGCAATGTCACTTCAAAGTATCTTTCTTAAAACGCCCCCCACCCCTGCATCTATTGGACTTCATCTCCCAGAATTCCCAGCCATTTTACTGATTGAAAATTTTGGGATTTTGAAGTCCAACAATTTGGACAGCACTCTCTTGCGAAAGACTGCTTTGGGATTGACAAAGTAATGAATTTATTAATAATTAATGACACTGCTGAAGAAGTTATTGGGCAAGACTACTTCTTGCTATATATTTATTTAATCAAATTAATATGGCGCTCATCTCACAGCATCTCTGGTCCTTCACGAAGAAGTTGGCAATGCTATAATAACCAATAAACTGGAATAGCAATTTGTCTAACTGATTTTCTCTGGGTCTAATCCATCCTGCCTAGGCCTTATTACTAATATATCTATACAGTGCTTCTTAAAAAAAAAAGGTGCCGGAACTCACACATGTCATACCCTGCCTTGCCTACCCTCTAAGTTTCCATCCCAAAAAGGTGACGGAACTCCTTTCTGGGCGTTCTATGAGAATCATACCAGTTCCGTACAACTGATAGCTAATTTTTTTTGTTGCCCAGGCCCAGAATGGACTTCTGGAAGTGGCATCCACACAGAGAACCAGTATATATACAATTTTTCCTACAAGTTGCCCTCCAGAATAAAGATAAGGAAGGATGATTAAAATAGAACATGGATTTAAGGAGTGGCAGGTAAGATGCTGGAATAGCAATTTGCCTTACTGATTTTCTCTGGTCTAATCCATCCTGCCTAGGCCTTATTACTAATTCTCACATGTGGAGGATGTTTATCTGAAGCTGTAAAGCATCTTATCTGCCACTCCTTAAATTCATGTTCTATTTTAATTTAAGTTATATAGATATAGATATATAGCTAATAACCCTCTTGGTTCTCTCCTCTTCACCTTTTACTGCCTGTGATGCAGTAAGACAATTGGATTTTCCTCTGAAATCTTTTTTATTGTTATTATTATTTGGAGAAATAGCAGAGGAAACTATTTCAAAACCATGCCTGGTAGTATCCATCCCACCACTTTTTCTCTGATCCTTCACTGGCAGAATCAAAATACTCTCTAGCGAGCAGAAAACTGAGCAGAAAACTTCCACCTCCCAACCTCAAGCTCTCTCCTTGTCGAAACGAAGCTCAGAGAAACGCGAACTGATCGCGAATGCCACAAATATCGCCACCCGACAGGAGGCAGGTCGAGTTTCAAGAAGCAAAACCCAAAGGGATCGGCGAGCGACGCTTTCTTCCCGGTCAGCTGAACTTGACAAAGAACAGCTTAAGAAGGATCAGGCAGGCAGAAGGGACGGGGGGGGGGGAGTCCTTAAAAGAAGGCGACCCCGTCCCCTGCTCTCTTACCTGTCCCAGGCCGGGCTCGGTAACGTTTGGGGCGAAGGAGTTAAAAGCGAAAGTGAAAAGAAGCATGTTGGAGGCAGAAAGCATCGCTACTTCCCCATGCTGGAGAGCGATAAAGAAGGTGGCGCGGATTGGTTCACCAAAGTCTCAAGGTTGATGGAAAGATGACGCGAGGGAGGAGAATAAAGAGCTGTTTTGGGAGGAGAAAAATCCGACCATACTAAGAAGGCGAACGAATTTTTGATTCGGAATCCACTTCCACGCTGAAGTTGGCGTGCAGTGCTGGAAGAACATTCATGTAAAATCATTTTCATCCCTTCTGTGCAAACAGGCATGCAGAAATACGCACACCTGAAATTGAACTGAGCTTTCTTTCTTTCTTTCTTTCTTTCTTTCTTTCTTTCTTTCTTTCTTTCTTTCTTTCTTTCTTTCTTTCTTTCTCTTTCTTTCTTTCTTTCTTTCAAAAATCAGTTTCTTAATCTAAAATTTCTGCAATGTGGGTGTAGTCAATAAACTGAATTGTCAGGTAATAATGTTTGAACTTGGAGTTGCAAGTTGATAGACAGAAGTGGAAGACCCAGGGAGGCTGGAGGCACATTGCAAGCCCCTTTATCAAAAGATAAATGGGGGGAGGGATCATGGACCATGCAGACATTTTGATAATCTGGACAGCATTGAAGGAGATGCCAGAGTGATTAATTGAATTATTTAGAGCAACCTTGAAGGCCTTGGAAAATATATTCAAATAATGTGATGGGTGTATACTGTATCTAAAAGATCAGAATTGTGCAAGTTATAATATTCCCTGTGAGATTCTATGGAAGTGAAAGCTGGAATATAAAGAAGCAAAATAGAAAGAGTATTAATGCATTTGAACTTTATGTTGGAGAAGATTCATGAGAATTTTTATGAACAGGCAAGAGAACAAATGGATGGATCATCAAATAAATCTACCCATAGTTCTCACTTAAGACACAAATGATCAGATTTCAATTATCCTACTCTGGACACATTATGTGACAATCCAGCTCTGTAAAGAATGCTTTAATGCTGGGAAAAGTGGGAGAAATGAGAAGAGGCAGCAACATGGATATGCTTAGTTACAGCAGCAAAGAGTGCACTGTTGGAACAGCTGAAGGATCAGGTTAGGGTCAGATCATCATGAAAAATAACTATCTGGTTGTTAAGAGTCAATGACTTGATGGCACATGACGAACCAATCAATTTTCAGTTGCCATGCCAAGGTAGCAAACTGGTGGCTTGTCCAGCTGATTTGGAACTACATTTTTCAGCATCCTTTAGTCTTGGTGATGGATGCTGGGATTACTAGAAGTTTGGTTTTCAATTATTTTGGAGATATATAAAATGTCCCACCCCTGTACTCAATGTAAAAGCAGTACTATTTTTTCCCCACAAAGTCTCCTTTGAGTTGAGTTTGACTTGTTGGCCTCATCTTTAGAGGGATGGATGGATAGACCGACCGACAGACAGACAGACAGACAGACAGACAGACAGACAGACAGACAGACAGACAGACAGACAGAATGGAAGTGATAAGCCAGTTCTCTTCATCCAATAGGGACCCTCATTGGCTTTTACTACTCTGTTAATTAAAGATTATCTTGTTAAGCAAAATGTATAGATAGCCTAATGCTCAAGCAGATCAGTGAAAGGGCTTATAGCAGGCCCAGCAGACCTTGGTTCAAAAATTATAGCTACCACTGGATACCAAGAAGTAGAAAAAATAACTCTCTACTTCAATCTAGGGGTTGTCCAGATTTTTACTCCCTACATACGACTGCCTCTTTTTTCATAGAGTTCATTTTACAGTACTTAGGATCTGGAACTACAAAGTTATATTCTATATGACTTTCCATGTTCTTATATCTATAATTCCAATCTCCTATTATGAAGAGGAAGCTTTTACTAGACTTAATATGCATATTAAAAGAACAAAAACAAAACAAAACAACCCCCCCCCCAAACCTAAGAAACAAGATTTTGAAAATAAGGCTATCATATCATTAAAACCAGCTAGATATCAGTTAAAAAAATGCAAAAACCTCTATAACTGTGCTGCCATTACAGTCCAAATATGATTTTCTTCACCTAGGACAGTGATGGGGAACTTATGGCACGAGTGCCAGAGGCGGCATTCAGAGCTCTCTCTGTGGGCACGCGCGCCGTTGCCCCAGTCCTAGGCCTTCAGCTGGGTTTTATAAAACCTTTTCACTTTAGGCCTCTGCCGCTGTGTGCAAAAAAAAAAAAAAAAGATTCAGTCAATTTCAACTTCTCATGGGGAAAAAAAAGATCTTGCAGAGTTGGAATTGATTGATTGAACTTTTTACTCCCACCCAGTCTGCCGTTACCACCGCGGCCATGCCCACCCAATTGGCTACACTCAGCCAGTGGGCCACATCCACCCAGCATGCGACGATGCATAAGTGGGTTTTGGGTTGCAGTTTGGGCACTCAGTCTTTAAAAGCTTCGCCATCACTGACCTAGGAGTTGCAATTGCTCTTATTCAATATACTAAATTTTGTTAAATATTGAATTGCAGTTAGGTGGGTATCAATACACATGTCTTAGTTATGTTGTGCAAATTTTGCTTATTTTATTAGTTTATAGCTGAACATACTATGAGAACCCTTCAAAAAAGATTATTTGGATATCCAGCTTAAATATATTGTGCAGACTCAAAATTCTTGAAAAAGTTAATATATTATCATATGGAACACAAGCCTAAAGATACTAATTTGAAAAGCAAAAGCTGAAGGAGTAGAACTCAAAAGATGTTCAAAAAGAAATATAGGACTTATGTATTCCAGGGATAGGCAACCTTGGCTCTTTTATGACTCCTGAACTTCAACTCCCAGAATTCCTGAGCCAGCCATGCTGAGGGGAAAGGGAGAGGTTTCCAAGCTGAGCCATGCTGGCTCAGGAATTCTGGGAGTTAAAGTCCACGAGTCATAAAAGAGCCAAGGTAGCCTACCTCTATATTAGACCAACAGAAAATTTACATTAGCTATAGGTTTCTGCATGTGCAAGAAAATGAAAACATAATGTCAATATTGCCACCTAGTGGTGACTAACTGATATTTCCAGATTTTCCTGTACTTTTTTTTTCTTCCTTATCTTTATCTTTGTTATTATTGTTTTTGGTTTTGGTGTTCAGGAGCTGCAAATCATTTAATTCTTAATGTATTGTTTGTTTCTTTGAGAGAGAGAGAGGGGAAATGCTTTAAATTATAAAAGTGCATCAGATGTATTTTAGAATAGAATGTTTTATTGGCCAGGTGTGATTGAACACACACAAGGAGTTTGTCTTTAGGGCATAAGCTCTCAGTGTACATACAGCAGCAAAGTAATATAATCATATGATAATAATAGGAGAGGCCAATAGAAAAGATGATAATAAACAATTAAATTATAAATGTATAAAATTAATAAAAAATAAAAATCTTTATTTTCTCTGAATTTGCTTATGTCAGTTCTATTTTTGGATTTGTATTTTCAGGTTTCCCACTGTTTGGGAAATAGTGTTTGTTTATTTGTTTGTTGATATAATTTATGTAATCATTATAAAAGTAGCTATTTGGCGGGGGATAGGGGGAAGGGCATGCCTTTGAGTCAATGTTTACTACTTGGGCTGCCAGGACTAGTCCCTGTAGAATACTTGGCAAAATTTTGGAAATGGGTTGTCCTTGCTTCCTTCATAGGGCTGAGAAAGACTGTGTGCATGTCCAAGTTTACCGAGCTGGCTTTGTACTGAACTGGGACTAGAACTTACAGTCTCCTAGTCTGATACCTTGGACACTACATCGCTAGCTTTTTTGGCTTCTGGTTCTGGTTTGCGGGACTGGCGGGCGTGCGATTAGATTGCTCTCCCCGCTGTTTGGTTTTCCTTCTTCAGGAGACCATGGAAAGGGTCAAAAGTAGCCCTGGAGGGGCGACCATTATTGAAGAGGACTTTGCCAGATCGCGGAGGAGCAGCAGCCTCTCCGTTTGATCTGCAGCAACTCCTCAGGACCGAAGAAGAAAAGAACAGCCATTAACATAGCCGCTCACTTAGTCGCACCAGCTGAAAGCCCAAAGCACTAATAAGCCTGATGAAGCAACTGGAGGAGTTGGGTGAGATCTTACTTTTCCTTCTTTCTTTCCCAACTATTTTCCTGTAAAAAGCCTCAAAATACCCTTTCCCCCCAGCTTAATTCCACAGCTTCTGCTTACCCCAGAAACACAAAGCCAAGAAACAAGCAAACAAACAAACAAAGAACAATAAGATCAAATGACTACAAAACTGGACTTGTAATATCTGGATACCTGGGCTCCCTAAAAGCTCTGTACTACTATAAAAACTTATTGTTTGACTTTTTTGCCAAGCTAAAAAAGGGGAGGAATATTCTTTTTTCCCCCTCTCTTGTACCGGATAAAAGCTCTATTCCGTATGTTACTGGGGAATCTTGTGGTGAAATTTGGTACAGCAAGTGAACATAATAATAATAATAATAACAACAACAACAACAACACCTGGCAATGGCTAAGAGCAGGAAAATTGAAGAAAGAGACCGAGGGACTAATTCTGGCTGCATAAGACCAAGCCTTAAGGACAAATGCATATAAAGTCAAAATTGAGAAGACAGCAAAAGACAGTAAGTGCCGCCTATGCAAAGAACCTGAAGAAACAGTGGACCACCTGGTAAGCTGTTGCAAGAAGATTGCACAGACTGACTACAAGCAGCGGCATGACAAAGTAGCAACAATGGTCCACTGGAAGATCTGCAAAAAATATCATTTGTCTGTAAGCAAAAACTGGTGGGATCATAAAATAGAGAAAGTCATAGAAAATGATAAAATTAAACTGCTCTGGGACTTCAGAATTCAAACAGACAAGCACCTGCAACATAACACCCCAGACTTAACAATTGTCGATAAGAAAGACAAAAAAGTCTGGATAGTGGACGTGGCAGTGCCTGGAGACAGCAGAATAGACGAGAAAGAACTGGAGAAGATAACAAAATACAAAGACCTACAAATAGAAATAGAAAGACTGTGGCAAAAGCAAGCAAGGGTAGTACCAATAGTCATAGGCTCCTTGGGTGCAATCCCAAAACAACTGGAGCACCACTTGAACACCATTGGCATTGACAAATTCGCTATTAGTCAATTGCAAAAGGCGGCCTTACTAGGAACTGCTTCCATTCTGCAAAGATATCTGTAATACTATCAAACATCCACATCTGCCTATCCCAGGTCCTGGGTAAGGACTCGATAGGTAGACAAAATGCCAAATCCAGTCTGAACGTCTGGCTGACTGTGCGATGATCAATAATAATAATCATCCTTTTCTGACTGGGAGACTCCTGAGACTAAAACTTGTCCTTGACAGCAACAAAAGATAAGAACTTGAATCAGCTGGGTGGAGAAAATATCCCTTTACAGTGGAGGTGGATAGTTATTGACTTTTATTAAAAATAGCCTCCACTAAAGGACTATTTGTAAGCACTACAGAAATGGAGGAACACCATCCACAGCTTAATGTCAAACTTATACTCGAAAAAATCCTACAGGCCACTGAGCTAGTGAATTCTAGAATGAAAGACTTACATGCAATAGAAGAAGAAGGAACTAATAACAAAGTGGATTTTAAAGAATGTCAGCTACAATCTACTCAGAAGTCTGACACCCAAACTTTGACTTCACTTAAAGACTTTATAACTACAACAACAGAAACTCAACAAAGCAATGCTAAGATGGAACATGCAGAGGTCTTACCTATACAATATACTGAGGTTTTAGACAACCCAGATGATCCAAAAACATTGAACATGACCTTTTATCTGAACCAGCCGAAATCAGAAGAAGAAGAAGACCAGCCTCAATGTATGATAAATGCATTAACTCAAATATGGAGACCTAAACCATTTGGCCAACAATTCAATGATTGTGAAGGGACTGGCTTCCTTGACAGGCTGATGATTGGATGGTCTCCCCTGATTCAAATGATATATGCAGGAATGAAGGGAGAGCCACTTGAGGATCTAAAAGCTTTTTTATGGAAGCTGGCTTGGCACAAAAGGAAGGCCAGAGTTAGACTTAAGATGATTTTCTTTATGTGATATTTAATGGAGGAGCTTTGAATTCTACGTAATGAGATAAGAGGATGTTAAAAGATGTTATTTGATTTAACATTTAGGATTTATATTTATAAGGGAAATAAATTAGTTATTCAAATAATTGTTTTGAATTACAAATGGAAGATGGATTTAGAGGATAAAGGTTATTTTATAAGTAAGCGATGATATTAGAATGAGAATTAGAATATGATTGTGAAATAAACTAAGAATCTACTGGAATATATTATAAGTATATTTTAGACATATTATTTTGCATGAACTAAGGGAACCATGGGTTATCTGAAACTTAAGTATTATTAGACACTAAGCCAACTGAAATATTGTAATTGAAACCAGACAAAAGTCAAAAACAGGATTTGGAGACAAATAATTTAAAAGTTGTTTATAAATGTTTTAAATGATTGAGTTATAACTAATAATTTATTAATGTGAATTTGATATAATAACTAAGGGAAACAAAGAGGAAATTATTGATGATATAAACTGATATATGTATGGATAAGCGTATTATTGGACTATGTATTACCCAACCACCATGTTACTTCCTTAAATACCTGAAGCTTTGTAAAAATGGAAAATTAATAAAATTTGTGTTTTTTTTTTTTAAAAAATCAAGCTAGCTCTTTCATTGTAATAATTAAAAGCAGATAAAAAGAGAAGAACTGGAGAATGGATTGACCTAGAGATAAGCTAAAGATATCAGGCAAACCTTCACATATGAATGCTTGGTTGTTTATTCATGGAATTAGAAGGGATGCTATAAATACTGTTAGTCTACAATTTGATTTAGATAGTAAAACTCTGGTAGAAGAATAGAATAAGATAAGGGAATCTTGAAATATCTAGATGGGCTTTAACACCTTATATGCACTTCACATATTGCTATGCAAATTATCACATAAATGTATAGTGTACATAATGGTTTCAAATTCTAGCTTCTTGCTTTGAGATTGTGCCTGATTCATTTGGACTTAGCTAGGAACAGATCTTCCAGTGGATATTTTTCCACAGCAGAACACAATGACAAACTATTTCCATACTGTTGCTGAGAAACCCGCAAGGAGGAAGAAGGAGCCATGCTTTTTTTGTAAAAAAATAAATAAAAGGTGCCGGAACTCACACATGTCATACAACCCGCCTTGCCTACCCTACAAGGTTCCATCAGAAAAAGGTGCCGGAACTCCATTCTGGGCGTACTATGACAAAAAAAGCCCTGAGAAGGAGTTTGGGGTTTGTTCGCCATCTTGTGTTATTTATAAAAATAATAAAGTCAGGATATATATAAATAAACAAATAAATAAATAAATAAACAAACAAGCAAGCAAACAAACAAACAAATGCATCCATAAAGTCATCATAAGCTGAACAATAATTGACTATATGATTTTGAACAGACAGAATATAAGACATACAGGCTGCATAGCTATTTCATTGTACAGTTCACGTTACATTCTTAGACAAATAAAAAGAACTTCATTGTTTCTGGGGCATAAATAACTTTACTGAAGAAGAACCAAGCCACGGGCCTACAGTGGGTCCATTGCTGGTTTTTCTATCTCAAATATGAAATTATTGTAAGTTTGCTTTTTCAAGAAAAGACCTGTGATATTTTACAAATATGGTGTCCTCCACAGTCATTATACTACATCCAGAAGCTCCAATCAGTGGGGTCAGTAGGACACGAATGGTCCCAGAAATCTGTAAAGGTATATTAAGTCAGAAAACTTAAATGCACACCCTATGTTCAAATACAGTATTCTTTGAAAAGATGGCCACTCTGGAATGAACAGTCACATAACATAGTTGCTTTTCTGTACTCCTTTTAGGCTCTTTGTAAATACTTGATTGGTCTTTGATCTATCTGGGTTCTTACAGTCCTACCCATTTCTTTGAATAATACAATTAAAAAGGCTCCACCCTACCATAGGAAGGAGTTAAGTGTTAACTCTCAGTCCCCTTGGAGAAGTTAATCACAGGTAATTTATTTAAACAAAAACAACAAACTGTTTCCTTTAAGATGCTAGGAGGAGCTATTTAGAGAGTATAAAGTTTACAAAAGGAGGTCAGAGTACAGTGACAGTTATTCATATTCTTCTATGCTTTGTCTACCTTTTAACTTCTTTCTTGTTTCATTACTTGACTTAAAATCAGTCAAGATAGACTCATAAACAAAGATGGTGAGATTTCTTGGGATTGAAGGACTGGTCCTTCTCTCTCTTCTAATAGGTAAGAGAATATTTTTTTTCTTATTTTTTATTTTTTTTCAAAACTGGGTGTATAAAATACAAAGAAGTTCATCCCTCCTTGTTTACTAGGTATCCATTTTTTTATTACTTTGAAAAATTTAATACAAACATTAAACATGAACAGATGATGAGAGAAATCTCCCCCCCCCTTTTTTTTTTTTTTTTTTACAAAAGGTAAAGTTTAGCCCAGGGGTCTTCAAACTTGCCCTTTTATGACTTGTGGACTTCAACTCCCAGACTTCCTCAACTATTTAGCCCAGGGCAGTTTACTAATTTTATTTTATTTGTTTTGATTTTAAAAATGGTTCTACTGTTAAATGAATGCAATTGGGTAAGATCCTAGACCTGGTAATAGAATATATGAAAATATATTAGGTATTTCTTTCCTATTTTAATCAAAACATTTTTTAAAAGAAATTCTTAAGGAGAGAAATTTCTGAAGTTGGGGAAAGAATCTACTGGGTGGTCCGATGATATATGCATTTGTTTGCTAAATGTAGATAACAAAATAGTTACTTTGACTCATAGATTCCAGGGCATTCATCCAACTGTTGTATATCTAGCTGAGGCTGGCTTTATACAGAATTGTTAAATAGCAGAGTATTAAGTAATGTTCTTTTTTTTTTACTAAAAATAATTTGAATTTATTATTTGGAGTCTGAGAAAGGGTTTGTTTTGTTTTATTGGATATTTTAAAAGTACTGTATGTTTGGATTTAATATGGTTTTTGTAAAGTTTGAATTGATAAGATTTATTCAGATGTGATTATTCATGATTCATACTCTTGTTAATGTAGTATTTCCTGAGGTTTACATTACAGATGCCTTCTTTCTCCCTTTTTAAAAAAATTACCTTTAGGACTAAGTGTTTTTCAGAATCGAAATAAATATTAGATAAATATTAGAAATTATTTACAAGGGCAACCCAATGACCTTCTAGACCCAACTCTCTTAATCCAATCTACATGGATCAGAGCTGTAGGAAATAGAGTCAAAAATTATATATCTGTTTTCTTCAGTGTTAGGAGGTACAAGCTAAAAGATTTATTTATAAATTTATTTATAAAGTTTATTTCCTTGCTTACTGCCATTTCAAAAATGCATTGAATACAATTATTTATTACATTTGTAACCCCAGAATCAGAATAGTATGCACAATTACCATCATATAAGTAAGAAAGCATAAAAGTTTAAATTAAATATAGAAAACTTTAAAGGTGAAAGGCTTAAGTGTAAATTCAGAAATATGAAATGAAAGGGTAAAATTCACGTTGTCTGTCTATCTGTTGATTGATTGACTACCATACTTTAATTACAGTGAATCCAAGATTACACTTGATTTTCATGGTAAAGTGTAGGTGTACCATATTTTGGCTGGAAAAATGTGGAAAATCACTAGATGGTAGCAAAGAGATACAAAGACAGCTGCTTCTTCATTGTTGTCTAGAATTTCCCTTGAAATGATACTTCAATTTATGATGTCGTTGTTGTTAATTGTGAAGTCGTGTCCGACCCATCGTGACCCCATGATGTCATTGCATGGTGATAATTGGGCACTCTAAATCTTATCATATATGGGCTGTCATCTAATGGTGGGATTCAAATATGTGAACAACCACTTCTTTGTGTGGATGCCGCTTCCAGAAGTCCATTCTGGGCCTGGGCAACAAAAAATTAGTTACCAGTTCTGCCAAAATGGTGCGAACCAGAAGAATCCCACTACTGGAGTCATCTATTGCTAAAGCTAGTTTATCATTCCATTGCAAGGTTTCTTCACTTACAGAGAGGATGTTGCTGTGCATTGGATCTAGGATTACATTCAGCAATGGATCAAGGAAATATAAGGAATGATCATTTGGGCTACTCTTGAAATGGGACAAAATTACTTTTTTATCCTGCCACAGAAATTTTGTTTTACAGTTTGAAGAACAGAAAGGAACTGATTCACCACCTGGAAACTGTTTGTAACAACTAGTTTTTGTGTGTTTTGAGGAAAATTAGTAAAGGTGTGCTACTGTGTTGCTATTTAATGTTAAGTTCAGTAATTCTGTCTCTTACAAAATGTTAGACAGAATGTTGGCTTAGGACTCAGAAATCTAGATTCAAATGTTTTCACGTACATTTAGATATATTTACATAGGGATCAGAGTAAAACGGAAAAAGTATGACTTCTGACATTCTGTGGGCCTGGCCTGGGTTAGTTTTGAAACCTTTTCTTCCTTCTTGCTATTTTTGTCTTTTCTCACATACATATATAGACAAAAAAGGAAAATACATAAGGTATAAACTAAATTAGCAGTCAAAAATCATTGTGCTCTGGGGGCCACATGTTTTGGATACTCTTACAAAATTGTTTCCAGGACAGACCATCTTTTCATAAAATAGATATGATTAAGAATATGAGAAATTGCAAGTTATCCATTTACCAGTAGTAAAATTGGTGAAATTGATCCATTCCAATGGTCCTTCAGGAATGCTTTTTAACTTCTGTTTGTCTAATTATTTTCCCTGCCTTCCTCAAGGAGCTGGTAGGCATATTTTTCCAGCATGAAAGAAAGCTACTGATATTGCATATATTATTTCGTTGTTTGTCTTTTTTTAAAAAAAAAAACTGACCAAGACATGCATTTTCCAAAAGTATTCTTAAAAATAGAGATAATACCATAGCACAGATAAATCATTTCTTCTGGTTGCATTTTTTCCCCTATTATCTTTGCGGCTCCCCAAAATGACATAGGAAATCATTTAAGGAGATTTGGGGGAATTTTTTTTTAAATATTGATTCTTGAAATTTCTTGGGTACAGCAATATGTATGTTATTGGTTTTATTATTATTTTGTTACCCAGCTTCATTATTATTTTGTTACCAAGTAGGATCTGATGGAAAAGGAAACAATGGTACAGATTATGAATGCCCACATTTGAAACAGAGACATATGCTTTGCTTAATTTCATGTACAGGGCAGACATACATGCTTATGAACCTATCCATCACACTATTCCCTTTCAACATATGCAGCATTAAGGTTGACTCAGCCTTCCATCCTTCCAAGATCGGTAAAATGAGGATCCAGATTGTTGGGAGTAATATGCTGACTCTGTAAACTGCTTAGAGAGGGCTGTAAAGCACTGTGGAATGGTATATAAATCTAAGTATATAAATCTACCATGTTTCCCCAACAATAAAACCTGGTGTTACTACTACTAGTACTACTATTACTGCTACTATTATTATTATTATTTGCTTCCAAAACAGGCACTAGGTCTTATTTTTGTGGGCTGGATTTTCTATTCACCTCTGGCACTGTCAGCCCTGCCCAGCCAGCCCACTTCTTCTGTGACTGAAGGAGCAGCTTCATTCTGTAGCTCAGAATGGAGCATTTCACAGTCAGGCCTTTCCAGAAGGCCTCTCCAGCCAATAATAGAACAATGGATTTAATCCAAAGCTTGGTTCTCAATTGCAGAGGCCTTGCAGAATAGCTTGAATGTGAAATGCAGGCCTGGGGACGCCGCAGAAGAAGTGGGCTAGGAAGGAGAGGCCTGTCTGCCAGGGCACATGGGGCAGCTCCATCCCCCAACCCCACCCTAGCTTGATTTGTAGGTGTGTGCCTCACCCCATAACTAGGGCCTATTTTGGAGGTAGGGCTTATATTAGGCCCACCCCCCAAAATTAGGGCTTATATTGGGGAAGGTTTTATTTTCAAGGAAACATGGAATTAAGGAAAGAATGGAGATGAAATAAGAAGGAAGCAAAAGAAAATGGAGAGAGGAAATATGAAAAAATAAAATTGATCTATCTAGTGTTACACACCATCCTTATGTCCTCATTATCCATACACATATGCATACATTATATTATTTCCTCATTTATTTCTCATCAAATTGATTTTATTTTGGAATCAAAGTAATCTTTTAGTTTGATTTTAAAAAAGTGCTGAAGTTGTCTTACTCCTTTTATCTCACACAAATCCTCCCAAGCCCTGAAATTCATTGGATGGTATTGGGTCAAGAATTCCTTCAGATCTGTACCTTTATTTACTACAGATAAGTGAAGTAGTGATATGTGCTAAAATGGGAATGACCATTTTTAAATGACACACAGCTTATTTTTAAAGTTCCAAGTCTCATATGTTAATTATTAATTAATGAATAATTAACTCTAAACAATGTCATCATAGACATTGTTAATCTAAAAAGTGATCCAATGTAACATATTTTGTTTTATCTTTGGCTACCCTTCTTGGTCCATTCAGTCTCTTTTTATGTTTCTCTTCTTGTCTTCACAGACATTACAGAGGCCCAACCACTTCCAGGTGAATAAAGTTTTCCATAAAGTTTTCAACTGCATGGAACTCAGGACCCAGACACTAACCTGCCTATCTTGCTCTTCCCACAGCTTGTGGCCGATTTATCCCCTCTGCCCGAATAGTAGGAGGTACAGAAGCTGAGGTGGGTTCATGGCCATGGCAGGCCAGCATACAGATTTTAGACTCACATCATTGTGGGGGAACCCTCATTGCCTCACGCTGGGTTCTCACAGCAGCACATTGCTTTAGCAGGTGAGAACAGTTTCCAAACGTCACTCCATTCATACAAAACCCCACAGGGTTGATTCTCAGATTTCTGAAACTAATTTATAAAACTTCATTTCCTTTACCAAGAGATCTGGCATCCTGGAGGTCAGTTTCTACCATTCTTTCATGGAGAAACCATACATTCAAGCTATTAGTTAATATTTGACACTCATGACTAACACTGTTCTCCCATTCCTAAGGAAGTAAGTTTTCAGTCACACTTTTTCTAATAGATTCTATCATGTTTTTTTTTAAATTATTGAGGCATAAAGCCCAATCTCCCCACAAGATTTCTTTTCCTATTTCCTCACCACAATTAAAATACCTTTTAAACTTTCTCTTAACTACCTAATTTCAACCTCCTCCTCTTCCTAGCTGAATTTTAAACAATATATCTGTTTTCATTCTCAAATTCCTGCTTATATTTTATTAGCCAATTTCTCTGTCTACAGTCTCTCAGATCCCTCTCTATTTGCCGTTCTTTTGGGATCCTACAATCTCTCCTATCCAGGACCAGAGTCGGTACTAATGAATGTGAAGCAAATTATCATTCACTCCAACTACATTGGGCTCTCAAAAGGCAATGATATTGCACTAATGGAACTTGAAAGCTCTGTGAATTTCACCCAGCGTATCCAGCCTGCCTGTTTACCAGGACTTTCCATTGTCTTCCCTCCCAGATTGGGTTGTTGGGTTGCAGGATGGGGGAACATTAAATCACAAGGTGAGGCTATCAGATATATTTCTATATTATTTCTCTATATATATCAGTCACATATCTGTTGATGTTTGTAGCTACTCATAGGTATATATGTTCCAAAATTATTAGTAGAAATACAGTCCTTGACGTATAACCCAAATCGGCATCAGAAGTTTGGTTATAAGTTGTGATTGTAAGTCAAGGCATTACATGACCAGCCTCAATTCTATGACCATTTTTATGATGGTTATTAAGTGAGTCACTGTAGTCATTAAATGAGTTATCTTGTCATAAGTGTGAACCTGTTTTATCCAATGGCTGGGGTTTTTTAGACCTTTTACAAAAACTTGTATCTTAAATACAAGCCAGAAACAAGCTAAGCACAAAATCCTTAACACCAAAATAATAATAATAAAACAATAAAAAAATAAATAGAACCTTACCCTGCCCCCAACTTCTACTAATTGGCTTTGTTGGAATGGAGCAAGTGTTTCAGATAGATTCAGAAAGCCTGACATCAAGGATACTTTTTCTGGATGAAAAACAATGAGTAAAAATAGAATTAAGTTATCAAGGATTTTAATAACTGCCTGGACACATGCAGGAGAAAGGAGCTTATGCATCTTTAATATTATTTAGAATTTGTGTAATTTAAATAACTGTTTAAAGAACAGCATGTATAATATTTGATGAATTGTTTGATTTAATTGTTTAAATTTGTTTAAATTTCAGCAGCAGTAAATACATTGACAAGCTGTTCAGTTTGTTGAAATTCCTTCTTTTACCTAGATGTTCTGTTTTTTCCTTTGATGGAATCTGAAGAAATAACTTTCTTTTCTCTTTCTTTCAGTCCCACTTCCTGAACCCGAGATTTTGCAGGAAGTGCTTCTTCCCCTTATTGACAGGGCTACCTGTGAGACTCTTTATAGTGACTTTAAGGAGCCTGGGATGGCAACCATAATAAAAGATGACATGATATGTGCAGGTTACATGGAAGGAAAGAAGGATGCTTGCCAGGTAATAATAATTTGTGTGCATATGCTTTTGAGTCATTGTTGACTTCTGTTGATTTCCTGGTCAAGTCTCTTTTCTTGGCAAGATTTTAATTCCTCTTTCCCTTCTCAGCCTTTCTTCTTCTTGCTGTCTAAAGTAGTGATCATAAAAAAGCTCTGCTTTCTCTAATGTGTCTAGTTTGTGTCTCTGTTCTTGCCAGTTTACCATTACTCCTTCTGGTATTAACTATCTAAAATTTATCCCTTTTTCAATTAAGACTTTTGTCAAAAATTGATACTCCTTTCTCAAGTCTCTCACTCTTCTTGGAATCTGCTTTAATATCACTATGTCTCTTCCTTTATATTTTATTGTGACATTTCTCAGTTTCTGTAATATATCTGCCCTTAATGCTTTTTTAGTAAACCTTATATGGACCTCTCTAGGAAGCTTATTTCTCTTTGCATATCTAGTATGTATTCTAAATATCTCATTTATATCATTAATTATCTTTTCCTTGCTTCCCTCCAGTGCTTCTGCTAATATTTCAGCCATCACGTCTGCTAAATTCTCTCCCTTTTCTTCTTCAACATTCTGGAATTTTAAGTAATAATCAGCTCTATCCATCTCTAGAGAGATAATCGTTTTTTCCTGGTTCCTATCTGTTAATGTCAGTTGATTGTCCATCTCCTCTACTCTCTTATCCATTAATTCAATTTTCCCTTCCATTTGTTGCAGTCTTTTTTCACTTTTCCCCATCAATTCTTTGACCTCTTTTAATTCCTCTTCTAATTTACCTAACCCTTCCTTGAAGTCTGTATGTAATGCCTGTATCATATTTTTCAGTTCCATATTAAATTTATCTTGTTGTATTGTAGAGTCCAGTGTTTTCTGCACCACCGGACTCTGTAGTGTTGAGGGGGCTGTTGTTAGGTGTGTTGTGATCTTCTTCATCTTATCCAATGATTTATAATCCAAATGTCAGTGTGCTATTATAATCCCAAAATGTTCCAAGAAGAGGAGGAAAGAAACAAAAATAGGAGAAAAATCCCACCTCAAAAGTCCAAGGGCAGGAAAAAGTACAATTTACACTTCTTTATTTCAGACTCTTCATGCCTTAATCCAAAAAAAAGGAGATAAATAAAACCTCCATAAGGCAATCCACCATTCTCCAAAACAAGAAACAGTTTCTGTGTTAAATGCAATTAATGTCTCATTTCTTATCAGTGAGCCCAGCAGATGTTGTTCAAGGTCACTTAGTCTTCTGCTTTAGAAGAAGGAAGCTGAAGAAAAAGAAGCAACCCAATTAAAGGAAAAAGCAAACAATTTACTTTTACAGTATTTACTCTCAAATCAGTTCTATTAGTCCAATTGTTTTCAGTAGGCTTTTTAAATTCCACAGTCTTTACATTGATTTATTGCCTTCCACTTTTTTGCCGCTGAAATTCCAGAGGAGGAACAGGAGCAGTTTAAGGGTCCGCTCCCCCCTTTTCTCCATGGCTTCAAATTCTTCTTATTCCACCCCTCAGCATTTCCAGCATTTAAAAGAGAAAGTTTTCCTCCTTTTAACAATCTCTTGATCAGCTCACCCAGGAGATTCTCCAATTTTCTTTCTGATTCTTGGAAGCAAATGCCCGGCTTGTGACAGCTCGCAATGGCTGTCTGACAGCTGCTGGCCTTGGAAGCTTCTGTTCAGCTCTCCAGGAGATTGTGATCTCTCCTGTGCTGCCAAACTATCCTTTCCTTCTTCACTGTCCCTACAGGACAGCTCTGATCTGTCTAGGACTAGGCAGACCTCCCCAAACAGCTGGAAAGTGACAATTCTTAGGAAGCCCCCAAGGAATACGTCGTGCTGCCAAGAAGTTCACTCCTCCTCCTTGGCAAGATTTTGTTGGAGTGGTTTGCCCTTGCCTTCTTTCTAGGGCTTAGAGAGAATGACTTGGCCAAGGCTACCCAGCTAGTTTTGTGCCTAGGGTTGGACTAGAACTCATGGTCTCCTGGTTTTTAGCCTACTAACCTAACCTTTACATCATACTGAATGCAACATTCTTTTTTCCCCCAATCTTATTTTTCTAAGCAGCTTGCATTTCCCCCCCAACTATACATATAAGTAAAGGGAAAGATAAATGAGTTTCTGCAGATTTTACTCTCCTAGTCTATATTGCCGACTCATCTCTGTTTCAAGGCCATTGAGCCAGCACTGTCCAAAGACATTTCCATGGTCATGTGGCCAGCATGATGTTATGGAGTACTGTTATCTTCCCACTGAAGTGCTACATATTGATCTACTTGCATTTGAACACTTTCGAACCACTAGATTGGCAGGAACTGGGGTGAGAACAGGAACTTGCTATATTGCCAAAATTATTCATAAATTCTAGGATGTTTCCTGAATATAGATATCAAATTTTCAAGGGACTGGTTAAAGATATTAAATTAAACATTTAAACACCATTAAACATTCTGCAATGTAGCACCAGTCATAATATGTATTGAATAATTAAATAAACATTAAGTGGCTTCTGTATGCCCATGCATTTTAATGCACCTTTTAATGTGAGCTAGTTCCTTTCCATTGTGAAGACATCTGCTAATGAAATTACTGTTAAGGTATTTTGTTTGTATACATCTATTTGTTTTGTTTGTATACATCTATTTCCCTGAGCAACATTTATTCCCTTTTTGATTTTGTGAATGTTTTCAGTATTTGCTTTTGTTATAAGTATGCTGATAGAACAAGATCAGTTTACCATTAGGTGGAGAGAGGCAATCACCCAATGTAGAAGATGCTGTGAGACATGAGTGGAAGTCAGTGAGATTATTCCTTCTGAACCTTCCCATCATTTTTTTTCTTGAAATACAGAGTAGTTTGTCCCACCCAAATTGTCTTGCTCACAGCCTTTGGATAGTATGATATGATCATATTTCTAGTGTCGAAGTAAGATTCACCTATCAGTCATATGTAAGAATCCTTTCTGACAGAAAATTCATGTTATATTCTTGGAGAGTAATGCTTTATTTCTTTATTTTACAGGGGGACTCAGGGGGACCATTGCTTTGTCCATGGAATGGAGATTGGGTTTTGGCTGGTGTAGTGAGCTGGGGAGATGTCTGTGCTGCCCCCAAACGCCCTGGCGTCTACACTCGGGTTAGTGCCCACACCAGATGGATCTTGAGACATGCTCCAGAAGTAGAATCTAGTTTCATTAGTGCCCTAAACCTAATTATCCTTAACAATGGATGTTCCTTGGTTGCTATTGCTAATATAGCTATGCTTCTTTCATTGATTATCAATATTATCTCTCTTATATATTAACAAAACTTGGTAGAGAACAAAACTTGGTAGAGCATGTCTGAATTTGTCTAGATTGCCTGCTGTAGTTTGTGCAAACTGACCTTTGTCAAATCTGTATGATAAAGCTCCCACTGTATGGTATTCTCTTCTGGAATCATATATATTTTGAAATCATCCTATTGTCTGATCTAATGCTTCTTGTTTCTTCCTCTTATTCATTTATATAACATTAAAGAATAATAAGCCATGAACCTTTTTGTATTTCTCCATACTTATTATTTTTTTCAGAATTATAACAATGTAAATTTATATCAGTTTTTCCGGAATGGCAGATGTACTGGAATCCCACAGAGGCTTCATAAAATAAGTCTGAAATTTCACGGAAAGCCAGATCTGTACAGTTTGGCTAGATGTGCTGTGTTATACTTTGCATATGAAAATACACACAAACAAGACATTTCTTGAAATTCAGTGTGCAGTGATTTGCTTATATAATTATGAGCATATGAAACAGAGCTGTTTTCGTATTTTCTTAAGAGTCCTTATAATATTGGGTTGTCATAGAAGTTGAAGACAGACTAAAGGAATAAAGCAATAATGAAATATAGCAACTACAAGATAAATAACTCTTATTTGCTGAAGGTGTTCTGTTGACAAAATAGCTGTCATCAATATATTTGCCCAGCTTCCCTCACAGAAGATCATGGAAAGGATTGTAACTCTACACTATTCAGTTTTGAGAGAAATCAACACTACTCTGTGCAAGAATGGAAACAAAAATCAACTTGTGGATTATGCTTTGTGTGAAATGGTTCAAAGTTGTTCTTTTAAACTTAATTTCTGATCTTCATTGGAAACCCTTCAATGAACATTTCTTTTAGATGGTTTTAAAATGACAGTTTTTTGTTCTTCTCAAGAGTGTTTCAGAAAATCAGATATATTCTTCTCTGTTTTTTCATTGGTCAAGTGAATAAAAATATTGTATCCTTCTGTACTGGATTTCATGACAATTAAAAGAATGGTTTCTTTGTTTTAATTTTAACTTTCATATATTGTTTCATACTTGATATATAGTTGATATATCTAGATGGTTCATATTTTTATTCTTTTATTTTTTCTGTTATTAGTCATGTTCTTATTTTTTATTCTTGTTTGTAATTTGTTTTATTTTTTAGTTCTTTTTATATTTATTCAGACAATATAAGTTGTTAAAGGATTTTAACAATAATAAAGAATACATTCATACTTACTGACATTTTATCCCCAGGTCTTCAAAATTCACAATGTCTTCCCCTTTCCAACAAAATTAAAGAGAAAACTTCTGTTTGTATCCGACAAACATGTTCCTATCTGCAGTTCCTTGGGGATTCCTCAACTTTATTATCAGAAGTACTGTAATTAATGTTGCTGCTTGCCAAACTCAGACCACTTGAATAGAGTGGCTGCAGGTGGTAACATACAGTAACCGAATAATAAAACTAGGAAAGGTAATATATATCTCCTATGGCATTCAGAGGTTGTAGGCAGGAGCTACGAACAAGTATGAATCTGTTCTAACTGATATTTTCAATTACTAAATGCCAAGTCTATACTATTTTACAGTGAATAGGAATTCAAGGTAGAAAATTACAAAATGATGATACTTTCTATCATTTACAGATATGGCCAAGATATAGGCACAACCACAGATTCTCATATCTGCTCTCTAATAACTTATATTTTCCACTAAAACCTTTAGATACAAACAGGACATTTCAATAGAGGATTGAAAAAATAACTCAGCAAACAATGGATGGAACAGGGGAGAGATCTGTGTGCAGAATGATGGCATTACTGTTTCTACTAATTCCTTGCATATTATGCAAGATTCCCACTGTTAAATGTGGGTTGCATGTTCCTCACTTGCCATCTATCATCAGTCAGGAGACTTTATCATTGATGTCATTGCTTCTCATAGCTTTAATGTCTCCAATATATTAACCATCACAGAAGAACCACTTCTGATAGTGTTTGATGAAATTAAGTAAGAAACCAAGCTTTTTAACATTTACCTTATTTCCATTTCTTCTTCTGCCATTATAAATATGTTCTCTATGACATCACCCAGTAAAGGCAATAAGTTTGGGTGCAGCAAGTGTTGAAATATTATTCAATCTAAATTAATATATATTAGAATCTCTTCTGTGTATATATTTAAACTGACATCTATCATCATCATATATATTGTCATAACATTGTGGGACAAGCAATCTTTTCCTGGAAGTTAATTTCAATTTAATTATCCCTATGAAGAAACACCAAAAGGTATAGCATTATAAATTTAACTGTGAAAAAAGTTTCTTCTTTTCAGATTTATACCAAATGTGCTTGATTTTAATGCTTGTTTAAAAAAGGTACTTCTCTGTCAGGATGCATCCAAACCTTTATTTCTCTTTCAATCCATAATATTTCAGCCACTAAAAGAATAATTAGATAGCAACTGAGGTGCATGGCTGACACAGAGAAGACTCATGTTCTCAGCTGTGGAAGTTCACTAAGTGACTTTGAGCCAGTCATCCTCTCACATCCCAACCTATTGACAGGGTTGGTGTTGTCAGAAATAAAGAGGAAGAGAGAGCTCCAGTCATTGTCTAGATTTGTAAGTTTAGGTTAAAAAAATGTTCTTTTAGCTCATTTGCATTATTTCTAGTCTCATCCTGAAATAAAACAATTGTCTCTTGGACTGATTTCAACATGGAAAGAATTTCTTTCTGAGATTCATTAGCATTTTCTTGTTGATATATCAAGCTGCAACCTTTAAAGACAGGTGTTAAAGATGATTTTTTTTTACCATTTAAGGCTGGATATGGAACACTCATTTTGTTTTTGTATGTAGTCTTTATAGTCCAATAGGGTCTCCAACCCATATAAGCAGCCCAAGAATTTGTGTTTTTCCCCTTTTTCAGCTGTAGTCTGCAAAAGTGAAAGTGTCAAGGAGCAACAAAGAGTTTTATCTGAGTCTGGGCTTCAAGCCAAGTTTCCCTTAAGCATAATAAAATTGTATACTTGGGGAATAGCTTTCCTATTTGCCTGCATGAGAAGCATATGTTATTACACAAGATGATGGAACACCTTGGATTATAAACTCTTAAAAAAATTCTACTATAAAAACCACCTATAAAACATGAAATAGATGTCCCATACCCGGCTACAAAAGACAAAAAAATATTTTTAACATTTGATACTCAAGTCTTCAACTTAACATACTATCAAGAGAATATGGATAAAGATCAGGAAAAAACCTTTTCATGTGAAATCAATATACGAAATCAAGATCACATGAAGTATTAATACCATTTTACAATGCCTTGGTAAGGCCACACTTGGAATACTGCATCCAGTTTTGGTCACCATGATGTAAAAAAGATATTGAGACTCTAGAAAGAGTACAGAGAAGAGCAACAAAGATGATTAGGAGACTGGAGGCTAAAGCATATAAGGAACGGCTGCTGGAACTGGGTATGTCTAGTTTAATGAAGAGAAGGATGAGGTGGGACATGATAGCAGTGTTCCAATATCTCAGGGGCTGCCACAAAGAATAGGGAGTTAAGCTATTTTCCAAATCACCTGAAGCAGGAAAGAAGCAACGGATGGAAGCTAATCAAGGAGAGAAGCAACCTAGAACTAAGGAGAAACTTCTTGACAGTTAGAACAATTAACCAGTGGAACAACCTGCCTCCAGAAGCGGTGAATGCTCCAATACTGGAAGTTTTTAAGAAGAGACTGGACAGCAATTTGTCTGAAATGGCATAGGGCCGTGGTGGCGAACTTATGGCATGCATGCCACAGGTGCCCTGCGGAGCCCTTTCTGTGGGCATACACACCATCACCCTATTCCTAGGCCTTCAGCTGAGTTTTATAAAACCTTTTTGCTTTAGGCCTCTGCCGCCATTTGCAAAAAAAAAAGGTTCAATCAATCAATTTCAACTTCTCATGGGAAAAAAAAGATCTTGCAAAGTTGGAATTGATAGATTGAACTTTTTATTCCCACCCAGTCTGCCATTATCACCGAAGCCATGCCCATCCAATGGGTCATGCCCACCCAATGGGCCATACCCACCCAGCACCCGACAATACATAAGTAGGTTTTGGGTTGCAGTTTGGGCACTCGCTCTCTAAAAGGTTCACCATCACTGGTATAGGATTTCCTGCCTGAGCAGGGGATTGGACTAGATGACCTCCAAGGTCCCTTCCAACATCATTATTATTATTATTATTGATCATCGCACAGTCAGCCAGATGTTCAGACTGGATTTGGCATTTTGTCTACCTATCGAGTCCTTATCCAGGACCTGGGATAGGCAGATGTGGATGTTTGATGGTATTACAGATATCGTCGCAGGATGGAAGCAGTTCCTAATAAGGCCGCCTTTTGCAATTGACTAATAGCGAATTTGTCAATGCCAATGGTGTTCAAGTGGTGCTCCAGTTGTTTTGGGATTGCACCCAAGGAGCCTATTACTATTGGTACTACCCTTGCTTGCTTTTGCCACAGTCTTTCTATTTCTATTTGTAGGTCTTTGTATTTTGTTATCTTCTCCAGTTATTATTATTATTATTATTATTATTATTATTATTATTATTATTATTCTTTCAGCTTCTGACAAAATAAGAAGCAACACAAAGAAACAAGGTGCTAGCTTAAATATATAAACACAGATCTTGACTACAAGCAAAGAATTAACAATCCAGAAAATAAAAGGAAAATTAGAACAACTAAACACTAAGACAATGAACCCAATTGACCAACAGGCCCAGCCAACTGAAAAATCAGAAAAGGGAGTGACAACATTGAAAATGGAAGATACTTTTTACAAATTAAGAAATCAGCATTCTGCACAAACAGAAAAATATCCACTATCCTAAGAAACCCCAAAGACAAAATTGAGTTAGAAAATCAAGGAGTATACGAAATCCCATGCACCGCTTGTCCCACCACATACATCGGACAAACCACTATTTCTGAATTAGCTCTGCGGATATCTTAAGTACAATTTTATAAATTATTTAAAAAAATAAACTTTGTTCAATTTAGTAGAATAATTAAAAATGTTTCCATTTTGCCCATCCACAGCAAATATGTGTGCATCTCAGTGTATAAGATCCAATATAGTTATTCCAAATGCAAACAATTGTGATTCTTTCATTTTATTTTTCCTTATAGCTCCCTTATTATCTGAGAATTATATCTTTTAACAACAGTGCTGGTGATCAAATTTCTGTTGACCATAATGGGGAGTTAGTGGTGGGATTTGATGTGATGAACTGGGTAATTTCTTCCAATGAATCATTTTACAGAGCAAAAGTTGGGTGGTTGAATCCTGGGACTGTTTCAGAACAAATTCTCGCCTTTAATGAGGATGCCATAACATGGCACATATGGTTTAATCAGGTGAGATTCAAGTTCTCATCAAATATATATTGGGTAGTCTTTTAACTCTCACTGAACATTTATAAAAAATCTTATTTTTGATGGTAAAAGTTAATGGAATTAAACCAGGCCCAGCTGACAGAAAATACTATCTAGCATATATTTAATTGGGTTTTCAAGTCTTAAGTCATACAGGACTGTGAATGCTATTTCAAGGATTTAGAGTTCAGTGTTTTCAGAACAGATACCAACCACAAAGTTAGCCCTCAAACAGCACAATGCAATAATTTGGCCTTGCAGCTACTAATAGATTGTGGTCATACTGTTTCTATCCCAAAACTGCTAGTGCTGGTAAATTAAGTGCAGCTTAAAAATTCAGTCCTTTTCCCTTAGACTAACAAAATGGTTGTAAATCTTACACATCCTTTCTAAAGTAGATAAGCTACTTATTTCCAAGATAAAAGAGATATACATTAAGAGTTTTATTGTCTTGACAGGTTTCAAGCACATTTTTAACTCTATAGTAATTCAATTTACTACTGCATTCAGACTCTGACTTACATCTTCCACAGAACTTACTATGTTGAAGATACTGTATTACCCAGGCCAACTTTCAGATGGCCACGTAAACTGATATTGAATTGAATAGGCTGCATTTATTGCTAGATCAAATTTTAAGAAATGATTGTTTTATTATCAACTATTGTATAAGAAACATCAAAGACATAAATGAAAACACAGCGGTCTGTTTTCAGAATTGAAAATAATTTCTAAAAAATATTTCAGACTTTTTTTTTAAAGAAATAATCCCTAAATATTAAGTAAAATCCCACATTTTTGTTCCTTTATACCCTTGTTGAATGAACCCCTATTTAATTAGAATAATCCTGAAATTTATTGGTGCAT